CTGGCAATAATACAGTTATGTTATCTTTTTGTATTGGTTTGGCAAATTCTCTTTGCTATATCTTGAAAATCAGCCCTTAGTGCTTTAAAAACTGATCTTCAGTGCAAGTCATGTCAAGTAAAGTCAATGAGCATTTATTAAGCACCTACTGCATGCCAGCCACTGAGCTAAGACCATGAGGATGCAAAGAAAGGTAAAAGACAGTCCCTGTTCTCAAGGGGCTCCCAGTCTAATGGGGGAGACGGCATGCAAACGACTCTGTACAAACATTATGCACAGGATGAGGTAGAGGGAAGGCTACCAATATTAAGACAGATCAGAAAAGTTTCTTGCAGAAGGTAGGATTTTAGCCAAGAGTTGAAGGAAGCCAGGAGTTGGAGATGAGGAGGGAGAAAACTCCAGGCATGAGGCAGAATCACTGAAAATGCAGATTTGGGAGACAGTGTCATTTATGAAGCGCAGCAGGGAATACAGATTTCTTTTTGTGTGTATGTACCTGATCTATTTTAATTCCAACATCCTACAAGTAATGCTATGTGGAAGTGAGATAAGAAACCCATGTCTCCAAAGAAATAAACTTGAATAACACTCTGGGGGGGCACTCTGGGGACTTCCAGGACTTTCCACTTGCCCTGTGGCTGAACTTTGAATTTTGCTGTGTCCTCCAATTAGAGTGTGAGCTCTTAGAGAACAGAGTCTGTCCTACTTTGTTCTTCGGATCCCCAACATTTAGCACAGTGATTGGTATGTAGTAAGCACCTAATAAATGCTTTTTCATTCATTCATAATAAGTGTAAACAGGAGGCAATGAGGAACTCTGAAGAACAGGAGTAAACGCTGTTATTAAAGAATTGAATAATGAGAAAAAAAAGATGGGCTAGTCATGTGGCAAGCTCAAGAAATGACACGTGAGATCCATTGGTACCCTCTCAATGTCCGGAGAAAGTAAGAAAGGTCTACGACATTTGTGGACCCTCTATGGTGAACTTACGGAAGAACTTACAAGAATGGCACAAGATGGGGTGGTATGGATGGCCAATGAGCTTCACTGTTGGAGGAAACTTCAGGATGAAGGCTAAACCAATATCCTTCTCTTTGAAAACTGATCTGTTAATATTTAGTTACATAAGTTTTTTTAAAGTATGTTTCATGTTTTCATTTTTTGCTTTCTCATTGTCATTTTTAGAAAGGATGCTATAATATAACGCCCTTAGGGTCACCCTGTACAGTTTCTTGGCTAGCATTGTAAGTGTGGTTCTGTTTTGTTGCTATTTGAGATTGCCACTTGCCTTCACAAGTGATTATAATGGGGCCCCAGCAATTTCTTCCTATAAAATTGATGATTTTATTTGCAACGAAAAGTATTAGAGTGTAAAGGCTTCTTTGAATGGGAACCTTTGAATGGAGACATTAACCTGTCTGCCTTCCTGCATACTCTGATGCAAAATGTCTTTGAAATAGATCTCTGTGTAAATGTGCCTTTCCCCACAGCTACAGTATTGATGAGTGAAAATAATAATAATAAATAGCATTTATATAGGCATACTACATGCCAGGCACTGTACTAAGTGCTTTACAGTTATCTCATTTGATCCTCACAACAAACCTGGGAAACAGGTGCTATTATTATCCCCATTTTACAAATGAGGAAACTGAGGCAAACAGAGGTTAAGTGACTTTCCCAGCGTCACGTAGCTAGTAAGTGTCAGGTTGGATTTGAGTTCAAATCTATGATTAATGTTTGTGATGGTGACACTGAAGTGCTGAAAGATTCTCAATCAATCAACTCATCAATCAATAAGCATTTAATAAGTACCTACTATGTGCCAGGCACTGTGCTAGGTTCTGGGGACATAGTGACAAAGAATGAAGTGATCTTTGCTCTCAAGAAGTTTACATTCGAATCAGAGAGAAAATCAATCCATATGATTATTCAGTATAAATATAAGGAGAATACCTATACATACATACAAATTAGTTTGAGAAGGAGAGAACTAGAAGTTGAGGGGCTTAGGAAAGGCTTCATGGGGAAGGGGATTCTCGAGCTGCAGTTTGAAGGAGAGGGCTTCTCTGAGGTAGGGTGAGGAGGGAGGGTATTCTAGATGTCAGGGATGACAAATGCAAAGGCATGGAGGGAGGAGTATGTGGGGAACAGAGAAACGGTCACATTTGCTCTATTACAGTCCAGGAAAGAGAGTATGTTCAGCAGAGACCAGAAATGTAGGTTGGGGCAAGGGGGCGAAGGATTTTAATAAAACTAAGTGGAGGAATCTATGTTTTATTTTAGAAGCAACTGGAGCCACTGGAATTTATTGAGAAAAGGAGTGACATGATCAGACTTGTGCTTTAGGAACATCACTTTAGCAATTGTGAGGAGGACGGACTGGTGTGAAGATCTGACCACAAGGAGCCAACCAGGAGACTGTCGCAATAACCTTTTGTTATTCAATTGTTTCAGTCATGTCAGACTCTCCCTAACTCCATTTTGGGGTTTTCTTGGCAGAGATACTGGAGTAACTTGCCATTTCCTTCTCTAGCCCATTTTACAGATGAAAAAACAGAGGCAAACAGGGTTAAGTGACTTACCCAGGGTCACACAGGTAGTAACTGAGGCCAGATTTGAACTCAGGTCTTCCTGACTCCAGGCCCAGAACTCTACCCACTGCACCACCTAGGTGCCCCTCTGAAATAATTTCAATGGAAGACAAAGAGGATCTGACTATTCAAGAAGAGAGAATGGGTCAGAATGGGAGAGATGTTGTGGGAGTAGGAAAAAGATAATATTTGCTAACTGAATGGATGTATGGGCTGCGAGTGAGAAACTGAGAGTAAGACCAAGGTCATGAACCTGGACAGCTGGAAGAGCTATGGTGCCTTTGACAGACAAAGAGAAGCTGGGAGAGGGGTGGGGTTTAGAATAGGTTCATTTTGAGAAGTCTTCGTGACATGTAGTTTGAAATGTCAAAATGTCCTTGTAAGGTGGGACTGAAGTTCAGAGAAGGGGGAGCCTGGGGCTGAATGTACAGATCTGTGTTATCTGCAAAAAGACCCCCAGGGGGTCTGGGGAGGTCACCAAGTGCCTTTTGAATCATTAAAGAAAGATCAACACATGTTTTGAATGTTTTCAGCATAAGTTGATTTCATTGTTTATATATTTTGTAAATTTGGTTTTAGGCATATAATATATATATATATTTGATTAACTAAACAACACATTCTCTAAACATGTCACATAATAAGGAATTTGCTGTATATGTCTTAGAGTAACGTAGTGCCTGGTACATAGTAAGCACTATATTATTATTGTGTTATAATATGTATTAGTACATCATTAGATTAAAATCAGATGGAAACTACATTTTAATTTGGTTTGGCTGTACTCAGGAGTGCGGTGGGAAACACATTTCTGCTCTGGGAGATATAAAGAATAAGACAGAAGCTCATCCTTCCTTCAAGATGTTTGTAATATCAAGCAGATAAGACATAGACACATGATGTAATAGAAGAAGCTGGATTGTGATCTAGCAAGCTAATTCAATTCCAATTATGTTAATTACTAGCTGGGTGACCTTATCTTTGGGTCTCAATTTCCCTATGTGTAAAATGATGGGCGTTCTGAAGGAGACTCAGATATAAATAATACATGGGCCCTGCCCTCTTGGAAGGCATTATGTAGTGGGTGTAGAATGACTTGCCCATAGGGTGACTTCTGAGGTCCCTGGTGGCTCTAAATCTATTATCCTATGTAAAGTAAGTCACTTTACAAATTTGAATGGAAGGAAAATGAGTCAGCTAAAGAAAACTGCAGGGGTACAAGGAGGAACATCTTCAACCCTATGACTCTACACTAAGGTGACTCTTTCCAAGATCTGTGGTCAAGATAGCGCTGAGGACCTTAGAAATCATCTAATACCCTCCCCTCTCCTCATTTTGTAGTTGAGGAAACTGAGCCCCAGAGAGAAGTGACTAAATCAAGATCATTAGGATTGTGTGTAGAAAGCTCTGATCACAAGATTTCCTCTTAGGCTACCACATGGGGGAGCCAGTTCTAACTAGCTGGCAAGCACCCATTGTTAAATTTTCAATATGAATGTTTATTTACACCTCAAAAATCAGCAATGTCTGCAAATCAGGGCTTCATTTATTGTTGGTTGATTTTTCTAGACTCAAGAAAGTGTTAATAATTCAGATTACACTTTCTAAACGTGTTTGCATACATTTCCATCTCCCCACTCCCCCAACCTGGTGTTAAACATTTACCAACCCACCACAGCATTGTTCTATAAACTTTGTTTAAGCTCTGCAAGTTATCGGAAAGGAAAGAAGTCATCACCTCGTGACTGTAAGATAATAACAATTAATAATAACAATAACTGGAACAAATTTAGTGCTTCGAGGTTTGCAAAGTGCAAACCTCCATTTTCTCATTTGAGCCTCAAAACATCCTTGGTTTCATATACATCATAACCTGGACTTCGCAATTTTTTTTTCAGTGACTCTAACGTGTAGATAGAGTATGTTTAATCTTTTTTTTTTTTTTGGCTAGGCAATGGGGTTAAGTGACTTGCCCAGGGTCACACAGCTAGTAAGTGTTATGTGTCTGAGGTCGCATTTGAACTCAGGTCCTCCTGAGTCCAGGGCCGGCGCTCTATCCACTGCGCCACCTAGCTGCCCCCTTTATTTAATAATCTTAATGCGGCTTGTAAGTATCTTGCTGATGATCCACGTGTAAAATTCTCTTTTAATCAAACTACTATATTCAACCCTCATACACTCAATGAATGAATTAAATTGAGTGGATCGTGCAGGAACTGGTCCACAAATAGGTAAGACCTGTCGTAAAGCAGAGAAATGTTTGCTTTAGGGTTTAGTAGTTAGATATTTCAAAACAAACACTTTCATCAGCTAGTTCGGAAAAAAAGCTATGGCATACTTTCAGTTTTAAGCTCAACGCAAGTGTTTCTCTGGTTGATTTTATTGTTTTTAAGGTGCAGCTCTAGCCGGTGTTTATATCAGAGATTAAAGGCCACTTGACGCTCCGCCCCCAGGGCCGTGCCTCTAACCTCTGCCCTGGGAACATTCCGACCTCAAGGTCCGCTCCGCGGGACCCAGTTTCAGCAGCCAAGGGTGCTGACACCCCGGATCTAGCTTCAGAATCAAATGCGAAATGTTTCCCGAAATCTTCTGTGCTCTCGCAGGCGTGTTTGCCATCCTAGGGCGTTTCCTCGCTTCTCTAGCTAGCCGGATTCCAGGTAGGGGTTCCACCCCTTCCTCCTGCCCTTTGGAGGGCACCCCCTGGCATCATCCCTCTAACTCCAGAGCGCAGATTCCTCCCTTTTTTCGTGCCGGGCCAGGCCCAGATTCCAGTGGGCTGCAGGCTTAGGAGTCAGTGGGCGGGGCTGGAGGAAAGACTTCGGCTGAAACGAAGTGGGGATGGGAATGCTGGGAGGTGGGGGCGGTGAGAAGATGAGGGGAAGGAGAGGGTCTGGGTGCCTGCTTATACAGCGAAATATTTTATTTTTTCCCTTCAGGGATAGGCATCCTCAGCTAAGTGTGTTCTTAATGTCATTCTTAACAGCCTGCAAGTGGTTTTCTTTGGCTTCCAGTGGGGATAAAACTTCATAATCAGATCGCACCAGTGTTTTATAATTAAAAAAAAATAAACAGCACGATTTTTTTTAGGGCTAATGCAAACTTTGATTCTGCTACGTAAAGGCCAAGTGCAGAACCTGATTTGTTACTGTATCATGTTGCCTTGTTACTGCATTTTGTTTTTGTTACAGCTGTTTATTTTGTGTTGCCACTGAGGAAGCTTGACAAATATTTATTAATCACCCATTATGCATTATTACTAATCAATCAACAAACATTTATTAAGCGGCCGACTGTGTGCCAGGCACTGTACTAAACTCTAGGGATACAAAAAGAGGCGTTAAGTAGTTGCTACTTGTTTGTTAGGCACCTGCCATGTATCATTAAGCACAGTGCCAAAGATGAAATAAAACTGCCACCACGGAGCTCGTAATTAAATGGGGGTGGAGTGGGGGGTGGAAAATGAATTGCTAGGTGAGAGTGGAGAATAAGAACCTTACTACACACGATAAGTGTAAGGTTGCATTCAAAGGTAAAGGAGAAGTCCAGAGTGAAATTGCTGGAGAGATCCAGCAATGGGGTTTGAGGAAGGATGACTGGAAGATAGAGCCCCTGAACTGGGCTTTGAGAGAAAGAGAGGGATAAGGAAGAGAAGAGTGTGAGCAGAGTCCAGGGGACTAGACGAGACTTGGACTGAGAGTACTTAAGAGCAGTGTGAGTTTAGGAGGGAAACAGAGATTGGGAGCCAAATGGAGGGGGGTCTCGAATGCCAAGATAAGAAGTGTATATTTTATTGTGGGTGCTCTGGGAAATCACTGAAGGTTTTTTAGTAGAGGAGTTATAAGATTGGAAATGTGCATGGGGAAGCTAATTTTGACAGCTCTTAAAAGGAGCTATTATTGAGGTAATGTGATCACTTAAAACTTTGATGCTAGTCCAGGGGAGAGTGGATGAGGGCTTGAACAAAGGTGGTGGCCGTATAAATTGGGGAGGGGGTAGGTGGGTGCTAAACATATTTCAGAGGTAGAATTGACAGGATTTAGCAACTTATTGGAAGGGAGCTAGGTAAAGAAAAAGGAATAATAAAAGATGACTGATTCTGAGCCTGGGTGGACCTCGAAGATGGTGAATCAATTAACAGAGATTGCTACATCGAGGGAGGGAGCAGGATTGAAGGGAAATGGTGAGGTCAGCTTTTCTGCAAATTGAGTAGGAGGTGCCAGTGGGATAATCAAGTGGAAATGTCCAGTAGGCAGTTAACTAGAGCTAACAGGTATGGGAGCCCTAGGGAGATATGGAGGTAGGGGAAGAACACATGAAGATTATGAAGAATTGTATAGGCTGAATTGAAGCCATGAGAGTCGATGTGATTGGAGAGAATATAGAGAGAAAAGAGAAGAGAAGAGGGTCAAGGAAAGAGCCTTAGAGAATGCACACGAGTAAGGGGAAGGAGGATCCCTACCTCTTAATATATAAATAAACAAATTATATACATATATATAAATGTTAATATTGTACTATGTTATATTATATATGTACATAATATATTATGATAAATAAACATTTATTAAGTGCCTACTGTGTGTCAGCATGAGATCAACTAGAATAGTTTCAGAACTGTGAAAATGTACTGTTGCAGAAGGCAAAGGCAGACTTTGAGCATTTAGAAATTATACAGATAAATGCTGCACAATGTTTTCAAAAACAATATAATTAATATTTTTGAGAGGTTATTATGTGCAAGGCGCTGTACTAGGCACTATGGTGTTTACAGAGTTTACAGAGTTGGGGAGGATGTGCTCCCTACTCTTATGGGTTCAGGGAATGCTCCAAAGAAGAGATGATATTTGATCTGGGCTTTTAAGGACAAATAGGATTTCTAGAAAGGGAGATTAGGGGAGGATATTATGGGAAGAGGGAATGTCACAGTAAAGGAGTGTACAGGCATTTTCCTGGAATGATAAATATGCCGGTTTGACTGGATTATAATTTATGTATTGGGGAATTGTGGGGAAAAAAAACCAGGCGCTTCATGGAAGCTGCTGAGACCACTGAGATGGGGTGTGGAGAGAGAAGAGAAGAGGGCCAGGACACAGTATTGGGGTACACCAATGCATAGGAGGGTAGGTAGGTTACAGGTTCCCTCATTAGTCTAGCATTTAGCTTGTTCAGAGACAATGTGGAGCCTCTGAAGGTTTTTTAGCAGGGTTACTCAGTCTCAGAATTGAAAGGAACCTCAGGGAGCCTCTAGACCAACCTTTACCGAGACAGGAATCTCTTCTACCATTGGCCAGTTGGTCAGCAAGCCTGTTGGAATACTTCTAGTGAGACGCCACCTCCCAGCTTCCAAGGCAGTTTGTTTCCCTTTTGAACAGCTGTAACTGTTGGGTGGTTTCTTCCTTACTTTAACCCTAAATTCTCCATCATTTCTGTCCACTGCTGCTGGTTCTGCCTTCTGGGGCCAGTCAGAACATATTGAATCCCTCTTCCACAGAATACTGGAAGGCAGCCATCTTCTCTCCTCCACCTCTTTTCTTTTCCATACTAAATATTACCAATTCCTTCAAGTGAGCCTGGAAAGATGATTTCAAGACCTTTAACCATCATGGTCACTCTTACTTACTCTTTACCTTGTGCAGCTCTTTCTTAAAACATAGTACCAAGAACTTAACTTACTATAATGGCCCTAGCCTATGACACAGACACTCTTTTAAAGAAGAACTGAGACTACGCTAACTTTTTTAAATTGTATTTTTTTCCAATTATATTTAAAGACAATTTTTAGCCTTAATTTTTACAAGACTTTGAGTTCCAAATTTTCCCCCTCCCCTTTTCTGAAAACAGTAAGCAATCTGACATAGGCTATGTATGTACAGTCATGTAAAACTTTTCCATGTTAGTCACAGAGATTACACTAACTTTTTGGGAGCACTATATCACACTGTTGGTTCTGGTTGAGATTGTAGGCCACTAAAACTCTCCAGTCCATACTCTGCACAATTTCCAAACAAAACAAAACTAAAAAAAAACCCCAAAACCAAAAACCCTCAAAGCATCCTCATGAAACATAGGTACAAATATGTCACTTCCTTGTTCAAGAATCTTTAGTGTCATCCTATTATCTTTGGCATAACATACAATGTCTGTAGCCTGGCATTTAAAAGGATCTTACGTGTCTTTGGCCCACCCTTCCAGATCTTTGACCTTACTTTCTGTTACAGTCATTTATTAAGCACCTATCGGTGCTAGGCACTGGGTTTAACAATATAAAAGTAAGATACTCCTTGACCTTGAGCAATTTGCCTTCCCCTAATAATACACATATTTACAGATAATTCAGTATAGCATATATATGAAACAATAAATGCAAATGGTTGTGGGTGGGCATTCCCAATTAGAGAGGAATCAGGAAAGGCTACCTGAAGGAGGTGGCACTCCCTGATAGTAGGAATTTCAAGAGGCAGAGGTGAAGAGGGAGAGTATTCTAGGTATGAGGAGCACTCTATGCATAGGAATAGAGGAGGGAAATGTATTTTTGTATATATGAACAGCAAGTAGTCCAGGTGGCCTGGAGCAAAGAATGTGCAGGGGAGTAATAAGTAATAAGCCTAGAAACACTATTAGATTTTGAAGGGCATTAAATGCCAAACAGAGAAATTTATATTTGATTTGAGAGGCAGTAGGCAATTGCATCATCCTGAGCAAGGGAGTGCCGTAGTCTCACTTATGCTTTAGAAATAGCACTTTAACAGGTTTGAAGGATGGTTTGCATGAGGGAGAGACAGGCTAAAGGGAGACTAATTAGGAGGCTATTGCAATAGTCACGTGAAAGGTGATGAAGGCCTGAAGTAGGGTGGTTGTGGGATGAGCAGACAGAAGTGATGCATGTGAGAAATATTGAGAGGTAGAAGCAAGAAGACTGGACAGCTGATTAGATATGGGGGTGGGGTAGGGTGAAGTGAGTGAAGAATTAAGGATAATTCCTAGTTTATAAGCCTTAGTGACTGGAAGAATGGTGGTATCTTTGGTAAACAATAGGGAACTAAGGAAGAGGGGTGGGTTTGAAGAGCAAGAGAGTGAGTTCTGTTTTGGAAATGTTGAGTATTTACGGGACATCCAAATGGAGATGTCCTATTAAGTAGGAGATGTGTTACTGGAACTTAGGAGAGAGATGAGGGCTGGTTATGGAGGAGAATTGGGAGTTTTAGAATTCTGTGTTAGAGAATTGGGAGTCGTTTATATAGATATGATAGTTGAATCTGTGGGAGCTGATAAGACCATTGGGATTAGGTATGGAGAGAGAGGAGAGGGCTCAGAACACGACACTGATGTATACCAATGCACAGGAGGTGAGGAGGCATGGATGATGATTCTACAAGGAAAACTGAGAAGAATTGGTCCAATAGGTAGGAGGAGAAACAAGGAAAAAGCATCACAAAAATCTAGGGAGGTCAAAGTATCTAGAACTAGGGTTCTTAACATTTTTTGGTGCCATGGACTTCTTTGGCAAGTGAAGCCGATGGACCTCTTCTCAGAATACTATTTAAAAAAATGATAATGGAAAGAAATGTTAAATTTCATCTAGAAGTAGTGAAAATGAAGGTATAAGTTTTCCCATTCAAGTTCACAGACTCCTTAAAGTCTATCCATAGAGTCCTATGTCATCTATAGACCCTAGGTTAAGAACCCCTGATCTGGAAGGAGGACATAGTCAATAGTAGTGTCAAAAACTGCTGACTGACCGAGAAAACCATATAAGGATTGAGAAAAGATCATTAGATTTAGCAATAAAGAGATCAGTGGTGACCTTGAAGAGGGTAGGTTTAATCCAGTGGTAGGATCAAAGCCAAATTGCAAAGGTCAAGAAATTGTTGGGAGGTAAGAAAATGGAGCAACAAATGTAGTCTAGGAGTTTGGCTGAGAAAGAAAGGAAAGATATATGATGGTAGCTTGAGGTGATGCTAGGGTTTTTTTTTTAGGAAGGTTTTTTTTTTTTTCCCCTTAAGAAAGAACAAGATTTGAACATGTATTTGGGAAGCAGGGATGGAGCCATTGGATAATGACAGGTTTAAAATTGGGAAAGAAAAGGAATGATCAAAGGGGTGAGTTTCCATAGGAAATAGGAGGGGATGGGATTAAAGGTCCATGTAGAGAAGATGGTGTTGGCAAGGAAAAGGCCCCCTAATTCTTTGAGAGTGGAGCAGAGGAAAAGAGAAGGGGGATACCTTGAGTTGATTTTTTTCAATGTGGAATTTGGGAGGAGAGCTCCTGACAAATTTTTCCAGTGAGGTATGAGGCAGGGAGACCAGTTAGGCTATTGCACCACACCTGGTAAGAGGTGCTGAGGATCTGAACTAGGCTGGTGACTGTGTGAGTGAAGAGAAGGTAATGGAAGCAAGAGATGTGAAAATCTGGCAACTGATGGAAGAGTTGAGGATAACACTCATGAACCTGGGAAACAGGAAGGATGATGGTGTTCTTGACAGCAAGAGGGCTGGCTATGTAGATTTGGAAGTCCTCTGCGTAGAAATAATATGAAAGGCTAGATAATAAGATGGGTAGCTAGGTGGTGAAGTGGATAGAGGACTGGGCTTGGAATCAGGAATATTCATCTTGCTGAATTCAAATCTGGCCTCAGACATTTAGTAGCTGTGTGTCACAAGGCAAGTCACTTCACCCTGTTTGCCTCAGTTTCCGCATTTGTAAAATGAGCTGGAGGAGGAAATGGCAAACCACTCCAGTATCTTTGCCAAGAAAACCCCAAATGGGGTCACCAAAAGTTGGATTGAAAATCGACTAAACAACAACAGAATAGGATTGCTAATAGGATAATCATTGGAGCTGATGAGACTACCAAGAGAGGGTGTAAAAGTAAAAGAACTTTTCACTTCCTCCATTACAGAAAATGTATGTTTGCAGGAGGAGTGGCTTTCCCCCAGAAAGATAATAAGCTTTGTTTGGACACATTGAATTTGACACAACTATAGGACTCAATAAATGCTTGTTGAATTAAATTGAATGTGGGGAGAAGAGATAGAAGACCGTTGTAATAATCCAGGAAGTCCTGTTATATGGAGGATAATGAGGATGGAAAAGAAGGCACAAATTCACCAGCTATTAAGATGGGATTACATGGGACTAAGGCTTTTTGGATGCCACACATATAACCATCATAGTCTAATTGAGGATAACATCCTCTCAGATAAGCTCATATAGATGAATTCATATACCATTAAAATACAGGGTGTTCCAAAAGTCTTAGTACATCGTTAAGCTATTAAAGCTTAAATCTATTAATGTTTATTAAAAATGAAAAGTACTAAAACTTAAAACTGCACTAAGATTTTTGAGGTACCATATGTAACTTTATAAACATGGTAGTTTTACATATCACTAAGTTTAATGTAAACTTGGAGGAGGTTTCAGGGGAGAGGAGTCCATTTGTGCTGGGAGCTGAGCCACAGATTTGTGGATTATTAAATATTGAATAGGCATGATTATTATTATTAGGACAAAATTCAAGTCAGTCAGTCAGTAAATATTTATTAAGTGCCTGCTATGTGCTGGGAAGTAGGCCAAGCATTGGGGATACAAAAAGAGGCAAAAGACAGTTCCTGCTCTCAAGGAGCTCACAATCTAATGGGGGAAACTAGTTATTAATTATTCAGTACAAATTATTGATTATCTTCATGATATTGTTATAAACACAGCTGATACTTCATAGCATGTAAATCATCTATTTAGATCAAGAGTCTTTAGCCTTTTTTGTGTCATGGAGTCTGGTGAAGCCTGTGGACCTTTGCACATTCATGCTGTAAATGCATAAAATGAAATTCATGAGATGGCAAAGAACACTAATTATGTTGAAATTGAATTGTGTGTGTGTGTGTGTGTGTGTGTGTGTGTGTGTGTTCCCAGACTCCAGATTAAGAAGCTGTGATTCAGATAGACATAACTATTGCTTATCCAATGGCAAATGGTCGTTAGTCATCCTTGGTAAAGCCCTGAATTAATTAGTAGACGATTAATTCTCTAAAGTCAAAAGATCGCCAATAGTTGGATTAGAGCCTTGTCATTAAGGAGAAAAGGAAAAAGAATTGTGTGGTCATTTGAAGCCCTTCAAAATCTGGTTCTAGCCTACCTTAATATACCATATATACCTCCTCTTCACTTATTCCCTGTTCTAGCCAAACAGCCCTTTTTGCTACTGTTCTCCAAATTTGACTTTCCATCTCCTGTACAGCAACATAACTCTCCCCCTCCCCAAATGCCTTTGTGCGATCTGTTCCCCAAGACTGGAACGCTCCCTTCTCACCTCTGCCCCTTAGAATTCCCAGCTTCCCCAGAGGTTCCATCCCACGGGAGCCACACCTCTTGTGGGAAGCCTTTTCTGTTACTCCCAGTTCTCTCTGTTCTTAATGAGTATTTACTCATTTTTGTACTGTTTCTCTTATCTCACCCAAGGAGAATGTAAGTGCCATGTGGGTGGGGAATGTTCCATATTTTGTCCTTGTGTGCTCAGGAACTGACCCAATGACAGATACATAGTAAACATTTGATAAATGCTTATTGTATTGGATTGTTTCTGATATTAGAGTGGAGAGGAGGGGAGAAAGAAACAGAATTTAAAGGGGATATCTGGCGGGGTTGAAGTTTGGACATTTTTATATTTCTTGTGCTACAACTAGGCCTTCTTTCTGTGGAAAGGCTAATCTATAGCTGGTTCATGAAGACTTTCTGTGCTTTTATTTTTTCCCATAGTTCTGAAGAACTATCTGCCAGATATTCAACAGAAGCATGTAACCTTCAGTGACCGAAAGGGTCTGCAATGTATCGCCTCATTAATAGCCACCGTAGAGGAGACCCCTCAGTCCATCCCTGCCAGGACCCAAGGCCATTTTCCCGAGTGGCTCAACGGTTGTCTGATTCGGATAGGACCTGGGAAATTTGAATTTGGAAAGGAAAAGTATGCCCTGATTGGAGAATGGAAAGCCATTTGTATTGTTATTACAATAGGCCCTTTTGTGTTTTAAATCTCCAACACTTATTTTTCCAGTTTGAAACTCTACACAACCCCTCCCCACCCCTTTCCCCTATCCTTTTAGTCTACAGCAAGTTCACTGATGTTATTGATAACTGTGATGTGTTCCTGGTTGAAGGTACAACCATTGGTTTGATGGCATGGCTCTGCTTCACCAGTTCAGGATGGAGAAGGGCGCTGTGACATACAAAAGCAGGTTTCTGCAGAGTGACACCTATAAGATCAACAGCGTTAACAACCGGATTATAATCTCAGAATTTGGGACTCTGGCCCTGCCTGATCCATGCAAGAGTGTTTTGGGGCGCTTCATGTCAAAGTTTGAGTCCCCTGGTAAGAACATTTTACATTTAGAATTTTCAGTGTTTGGTGTTAGTATTTTAATCGTTATTCTTTGTAATGATTGGTGCAGTTATAAATTCCAAAGATGATTTTTATGGGTCCCTGAAACTATGTTGGTGGTTTTTTTAAACCCTTCAACTCTATATTTAAGACCCACTGCAAAGAGACAGGGCAGTTATCTGTATTAAGTGGATCTTGGGTTTATTTTCAGCCATGACAGACAATACCAATGTCAACTGTGTGAGGTACAAGGGTGATTACTACATCAGCACTGAGACCAACTACATGAATAAAGTGGATCCTGAGACCCTGGAAAAAACAGAAAAGGTGAGGTGTCAGTCATGAGTGAGAAATGAGAGGCTGGCATTTTCTTCCTTCCAAAAGAGCTTTGGAGGTAGCTGACAACTGAATAAGAGATTGGAGCCTTAAACTTGACTGAGCTTTGGTCCAACATGCCAGGCCTCCCTGAGCTGATGAGCGTGATTATGCTCTGGGATGATAAACACTTTATTAAATCTGGAGGACACAAGAGTAACCTACTTCTCAGTGACGGGGGAGGAATGGAAGGAAAAAGGTTATTCTGATGCTCCCTCAAGCCCTGCTGCCTCCCTCTCCCAATGAGATTCTCCTTTGGTCCTTGGGGCTGTGGTTCCAGGGAAGCCTAGAAACAAGGAGGTGGGGGTGGGAGTGGGGTAGGTTTGCTGGAGCCAGCTTGTACAGGCTCATGATTGTTAAATTTTCAGTGTGCACATTTACACTTCAGAACTGCAAATGCTGCACGTGAGGGCTTGATTTATTGTTATGTTGATTGTCTAGATTTAACAGTGATGGAGAAAGTGAGAATAGTGTAAGTTCAACTTAAAAGTGTGACCTTTGTACCCTTCTCCACCCTGAGAACTGGTTGTTAAACGTTTGCCAGCACACCCCTGCCTAGAGCGATGCTCTTAGACAGTCTGGTCTACATCATATTCAGAGGTAGTGCAGGACCTCCACATATGCCTCCACATAAATGGTATCTTGGTTCAATAGAAGTTTAGGTCAATCCAAACTATGTTGGTTAATGCTTGAGCTGTAATTATGGCTTTGAATTTTGAGTTCTGCATTGTTGGAGAAGTCAAATACAGGGTTTTTTTGGTATTTAGGTTTCACCTTTTCAGTGGCAAAAATGATTTTGACCTGTCTCTCAGAAAGTGGGATATGTTTGTGTGTGAGAGTGAGAGATTTAAATTTATATATCCACCTGCCCACTTGGTCTGGGTCTGTGATTTTACTGGTGTCAAGAACATGACACTCTCTCTTTACCAGTACAGAAAGCCAAGACTCCTTCAGCTTGTAATCTTAAAGAACTGAGTGAGACATTGAGAGGTTAAAGGATTTACCCGGGATCACACAGTCAAGACTGTATGTGTCAGAGGCAAGACATAAACTGAAGTCTTCCTAATGCTAAATCCATCTTTCTATTCCCTCCCTCTTCCTGATGTGTGTGTGTGTGCGTGTGTGCATGTATTCCTGTGTGTCCCAATAGCTTGAAACTAAACTAAGACTTTTGGGATGCCTTGTTTGTCGGAGCTCTCAAGAGCACATACGCACACCCACATCCCCCCCCCCCACAGCCACCTACCCACCCACATACTCCCACACACCCCTGCTGTTTTTGAGACTCTACATAAAGGCTTTTCTAAAGACCTTTTTGCCAGTTTTTAGCAAACGTTTTGTCAAAACATTAAAAACAAATCTTTGATATACTTTAATTTGCAGGTGGATTGGAGCAAATTTGTTGCAGTGAATGGAGCAACCGCACATCCCCATTATGACCCTGATGGGACTACTTACAACATGGGGAACTCTTATGGACCACATGGTAAATGGGAATAGGAGTCTTCGGAAATTACTTGGGCTAACTGGTTCCCCAGGCTTCCTTCCCTCTTCTGGTTGGCATGTGTAAATGAATTACTGCGTGTTTGGGAAAGGAGACCATCATTTTCAATTGTACACCCTCCTATGGAGGAGGTTCTGAAAGGACTCTCTAAACTCCCAGCCCTTTACTTAAAGGATGTCACTTCTCAGAGTGGTATTCCTCTGAAACCAGTCGGTTGTCTCTTTGCATTTTCCTTACTATCAACATATACATTTTCTTCCTCCCCTTCCTCCTCACCCGCTCCTTCCTCGAGAGGTGTCATTTGCTTGTGGCTTAGTTTTTTGACCATTTTCCTTCAGTCCTGATGACCACATGCATGGAAGAGAGCTTTCCAGGACCTGTGTCCTGGATGTTTAGGTGGAAATAAAATTTGAGATGACTTGCAACTATAAATTTTAAAGAAAGCTGTGATAAAAGTGACATCCTGTGGTTATTCGGCTGACTGCTTTCTTACTCGTGTATACATTTTTCTCTTACAACCACATATTTACCCACTATCTCAGGAAATTACTCAATATTTACTAAGCAACAGCTATTTGCTGAACCTTCTATTGGGATTTTTACTGCCTGCCTTCTGCCAGTTATCCAACTACTTGCTCATTCTCTTAAGGCATTCAGGACTTGGTTTCAGAAGAATGTGGTTTGAATTCTGTCTCAGACTGAACATTTACCACCTATGTGTCCCTGGTCTTGTTATCTAATTTTACTGAGCCTTAGCTTTTTCACCTGTAAAATGGACAAATAATAACATCTACTTCACAGGGTTGTTGTGAGGATCAAATGAGATAATATGATATGTGCCGAAAGGCTTAGTGTAGTTTTAAGCTATTAAAATTTCAAACTGCACTAAAACTTTCGGCATACTGTATATATTTGTGACTGTGTCCTTCACTGGTGGCAGCTAGGTAATGCAGTGGATGGGGTGCTGGGCCTGCAGTCAGGAAGACTCATCTTTGTGATTTGAAATCTGGCCTCAGACCCTGGGCAAGTCACTTAACCTTGTTTGCCTCAGTTCCTCATTTGTCAAATAAGCTGAGAAGGAAATGGTGAACCACTCCAGTATCTTTGCCAAGAAGACCCCTAATGAGGTCATGTAGAGTCAGACACGAGTGAAAGATGACTGAACAACAACCCTCACTAATGGATGCATTTATATCTTTCTGTGCATAGATGTTCAATTCAATAATTTATTAAGTTCTTACAACGGGTGCTAGCCATACAAAAATAAAATTAGAATCCCATTACTTGAGGAGAAAGACATATAGCTTTGAGGTCTATATTTTGTGTTTCTGTAGGTCAGGAGTGTGTGTGTGTGTGTGTGTGTGTGTGTGTGTGTGTGTGTGTATAATATGGAGTACTGTATGTGTATCATATATCTATGGTGGATATTTTCTACCTACCAGTCAGTGCAGATCTGCATGTTTGTTTATGCTTGTGGTGTGGGCTGTGAGTGTGGGTGTGTGGGTGTATATATATACTTGTTAGAGGAGAGTAAATGGGAGGCCCGGTATTTGCAGTATTATTTTGTGTAGTATCCCTTAATGGGTTTCAAATGAGATCTGAGTGGTATCTTAAATTTTTTTTCTGTCTCTAAACCCCAGCTATATTCAAGTTTTCTGGTATTATCCTCATATAAGCCCCAAAATGAGAGGATCTTTTTTGTCATTTATAGTTTCTTGAAGCGGTGTTTTACTTAGATATTACTCTCTACTTTCCTTTGGGTAAGTAATGTAGCCTCTCACTTTCCTCATCTGTAAAATGGGGATAACAAATCCTGTACTTCATAGATTTGTTGTGGGCATCAAGTGAAATAATGTAAGTAATGATTTTCTAACCTTAAGGTGCTATGTAAGTGTTAGCTATTGTCATTATTCTCAGCTTTGGGTCATCTTCAAATTTAATAAGTATTCTATCTGTGCCTGGCACATAATAAATAAATGCTTGTCGGCCTATTATACTTTCATTTAAATCACTGATAAAAATACTAAAAGAATAGGACCAGAGATAGAGTTCATCTATTAGCAATGGCCCGCTAAGCTGTTTATATTTACTTTAACAAAATTCTTTGCCTGCTGTAATTTAATCCATTCCAAATACATCTAACTGTATTGTTATTCAGCCCACATCTATAGCTTGTGCCACAGGATATTGTGAGAGACTGTCAAATGCCCTGCTGAAACCCAGAGCATTGCTCAGATCTACTAGTTTGTAACCCTGTCAAAAAAGGAAATCAGGTTAGTTTGGCATAGCTAGCCCTTAATAAAGCTATTGCTGGCTTTTGGTGACTGTTTCCTTTCTAAGAGCTTAGGAAGCATCCCTTTAATAATTATTTCTAGAATTTTACCAGGCTCATTGACTTAGAGTTTAAAAATACCCATCTTATTTTCTTTTCAGAAAATCCATTATTTTACACATTTCTAGGTTGAAATTGACCATTTACCATGATTCTTCAAAGACAACCAACTCAGTAATACCATTTGTAAATTCTTTTAGTAGCCTGAGATGTAGCTTGTCTGGGCTCTGTGACAGCAGAGATGCCTTTTCTTCCATCTCCTTATTTTAGATTTTGATTTCCTATTTAACATTTTGTTTTTTTCTTTCCTTACCAGCTTGAAAATCATCCTTCTTGGTAGAGAAAATAGAAATTGAATTTTCCTTTTTCAAGTCAACAAATTATTTTTTATAGTACTTATTATGTGTTATTAAACATCTACATAGTGCCAGGAACCATGCTAAATACTGAGGATATAAATAGTGGCAAAAAACAGTCCTTGTCCTCAAGGAGCTCCAATCTAATCTGATGAAGGAGACAACTATTGTCTGCTTTCATCTTTCTATTAGTGACAGGCACTGACAATCTTTGTATCCATAGTGCCTAGTACAATGTCTTACAAACAGTAGGCATTTAATAAGAGTTTGTGCTTTGCTTATTGATTTGAACTGAATGGAGCTGACATCCCAAGCTAGATTTCCACCCCCCCCCCGAGTCTTGTTACATACATTTAAACTTACTAATAGTGTTTGCATTAAGACTGGTCTACTTATATGACTTTTGTTACTGTATGTTTTGACATTGAAGAAGCAGTGTGCCTCCACTTTGGTCACCCTCCTTTGACTTTGTTCTTGGCATGTAGGTGGTGCAGTGGACAGAGTCCTAGACTTAGAATCAGGGAGAACTGAGTTTGAATTCTAACTCAGATACTAGTTGTATGACTCTGGGCAAGTCACTTAACCTCTGTCTGCCTCAGTTTCCTCATCTGTAAAATAAAAATAATGATAGCACCTACTTCCCACCGTATTTGTGAGAATCAAATGAGGCAACACAAAGAAAGTCTTTGCAAGCCTTAAAGTGGTGTATAAATGCTAGCAATTATTCTCTGCTGTGAACTCTACAAAGGGTTTACTGAATCCGTGGCCAGGTGGAAGGATGCTGCTATACCTGGTTCTTCTCCTGTCAGCTTTCAGCTGTTCTGTTCTACTGTTCTGTAGGCTTGCATCAGGGTCCTTTGAATTCACCCCCCCCTCCAATTGTGTATTTCATGTTGCTGTAAATATATTTGACCTGCCTCTTCCTAATACCACTTTCCCCAACTCTGGTTATATAAATCTTGTACATACTTATGAATATTTTTTCTTTTTAAAGAGATCATTGTAGGGGTGTGACCTGTGTTCAAGTCAAGAGGCAGGCAGAGTGGCAGAGGGCCGGACTCTGAGTTAAGAAGACCTGGGTTTGAATCCCACTTCTGGCATTTGCCAGCTGAGCTATCGTGGACAAATCACTTAATCTCCCTGAGCCTCAGTTTCCTCATTAGTTGAGGTGAATGCTTCTAATACCTACCTTTTTGTTTGTTTGTCTTTCTTTGCATCCGCAGCACTTAGTCCAAGTCCCTGGCATACACTAAGCACTTAATAAATGCTGGTTGACTGACTGACTAAAGTTCTATGTAAATGTCAATTATCATTCAATGGCCTTTCACTCTTCATCCTTTTTAATGTCTCCCCAACATTTGATACTGCTGACCACCCTCTTCTTTTGGATACTGGCTCCTCTGGGTTTTCATGACACTCTTCTCACTTGGTTCTCCCTTTGCTTATTTGACTTCTCCTCAGTGAATATTTAATAATCAACTCTCAAATGTTTAATGATCAACTCTCTGTAGACGAGGACTCCCAGATCTATGTATCCATGCTGATTCTCTTTCCCCAAACTCCAATCCTGCCTCACCCACTGCCCATGAACGTTTTGAATTTGATAGGTGTCTCAAACTCAATGTGCCCCAAATGGGGCTCATAGTCTTTCCTCTCAGACAACCCTTCTTCCTCACTTCCCTCTTCCTGACAAGGGCACTTTTATCCTTCCAGTCCCATGGTTCATAACCCAGGAATCATGTTTGACTCTTTTTTGGGTTTTTTTTTTGGGGGGGCAGTGAAGCAATTGGGGTTAACTGACTTGCCCAGAGTCACACAGCTAATAAGTGTTAAGTGTCTGAGACTGGATTTGAACGCAGGTACTCCTGACTCCAGGGCCAGTGCCCTATCCACTGCACCATCTAGCTGCCTCCATCTTTGACTCAACTCTCATCCTCTTCCCTCCATACCCAGCCAATTGTCAAGCTTTTTCCTTCCTTCCACATCTCCTGCATCCATCCCTTTTTCTCCACGCTACCACCCTATCTCAGGCACTCATTGCTTCTTGTGTGGACTACTGCAATAGACTCCTAATTGCTTTCCCAGCCTTTAGACTCTACTTTCTCTAATTCATCCTGTATACAGTCCTCAAAGTGATATTCCCAAAGTGCAAGTCTTACCATGTCAATCTTCTGCTTAAATAGTTTTTGTGGCTTCCTGTTGCTTCCAGGATAAATTACAAATTTCTCTCTCTGGCGCTTAAAGCCTTTTTACAATCTGGTTTCGATCTATCTTTCTCAGGCACATTTGTATTCTTCTCCTTCTTGAGTTCTGCATTTCAGCCAGACTGGCCCATTTATTGTTTGCTACACATTTCATGTCTTCATTTTTACCCTTGTACCCTCACTGCTTAGCATACACGGTGCCCATCACTTGTTTTCTTCTTAAACTTCACCTGTTGGACATGTCAGACTGATGTCTCCTAGACATCTTAAGCTCGAGCTTGTCCCAAACCCAACTACTGAACTCATTATCTTTCCTTCCAAATCCTCCCTTCTTCCTAACTTATCTATGACTGTTGAGGGTACTGCAACCCTCCCATTCACCTAGGTTTGCAACCTCGGTATAAAATTTGACTTCTCAGTCTCTCTCTTAACCTCCTTCTTCCCCTTGTTACCAAGGCCTGTGAATTTTAGCTTTGTAACATCTGCTGGATATAAACCCTTCTCTCCTCTGACGCTGCTACGGCCCTGCTAAAGAACATCATCATCTCATTCCTGAACTACTCAGATAGCCTCAAATTTGGTCTCCCTATTTCAAGGCTTTCCTCACTTCCATCTATCCTCCACTCAGCTGTCAATTTGTGATTTTCCTAAAGGGCAGGTCTGATCATGTCACTCCCTTATTCAATAAACCTCTAAGATCAAAGATGAAATCCTGTCATTCTAAACCCTTCAGACATTGCTCCCTCCTGCCTTTCAGACAGTATTCTCATGCTCTATTCCCTTCCCTTGCCTCTCTTTCTCTGCCCCCCTCCCAGATTTGAGATTCAGTGACATTGGCCTCCTTATTGTTCCTCAAATAAGCCACTCTATTAGAACAATTTACACAGTAACAGCAATGTTGTAAAGCTAATATATATATATATATATATATATATATATTAGATAAAGAAAAGTTATATAATAATACTTAGTAACTCTGATCAACACAACGATCAACTATAATTCCAAAGGACTCATGATGAAAACTACTATTCACTTCCTAATAGAAACTGATGGATTCAGAGAGTAGACCAAAGAATGTTTTTTCTCTTTATTTCTTTTATTTGATTTTTTTCTCCCAGAACATGGCTGATGTGGAAATTTGATTTGCATGACTTCATATTTGTAATAGGTTTTGTATTTCTTGTTTTCTCAATGGGTGGGAGAGGGATAGGGGAAGGGAGATAATTTGGAACTAAAAATAAAATAAAATTAAATTAAAAAAAATAAGGTACTCCATCAAGTGATTCCATGCATTTTCACTGGCTTGTCTCCCATGTTTGGTATTCTGTCACTTCTCATCTCTGTCTCTCGGCCTCCCTGGCTTCCTTCAAGTCTCAGTTAAATTTCCATATTCTACAAGAAGGCTTTCCTGATCTTTTTTTTTTTTGCTTAATTTAAAAATTTTTTCATATATATATGTATGCATATATACATGCATACATATATACAGACACATAAAAATTTTCCCCCAATTACTTGTTAAAACATCCTGATCCTTAATTCTAGTGTTTTTCTTCCATTGATTATTTCCACTTTATCCTGTGTGCAGCTTGTTTGTACATAATCATTTGCATGTTGTCTCTCCCATCAGACTGTAAGTTCCTTGAGAGCAGGGAATGTTTTTATTTTGGCCTTTCTTTTTATGCCCAGCATTTAGCACAGCGTCTGGCACCTATGAAGCGCTTAAGAAAAGCATGTTGACTGACTGAATGACATAGTGTGTGCTCAGGAAATGCCTGTTGAATTGGAATGTATTGAATTGAATATCCAGCTCTTATTTTCGTATTCAGACAGCTGCTGCTATCAAGGAAGAGAGATGAGAAACGTTTCAACAGGTTAACGCAGTTCTTTCTCAACCTGCTTTCTATACTCTAACGCCAAGGAAACGATTTTAGAATATAAATTTAGTATTTATCATACAGCATTATAAAAGAATTCTGAGTTACAGTTATCAGGCTGGTTGGTTTTCTTATGAGTATGTGTTATCTTCCATTTCCAAGCCTACTGTATATAATCTTCTCTTCATGAAACATAAAGGTTTCAATTATTGCATGTAACTACTTGCCTAGGGTCCAAGGGAGTGTTGAAGCTTTTGGTCTGGCATGAGCATTGCTCTTTAGATGACCCTTCTCATTTTCCAGGTTCCTGCTATAATGTTATCCAGGTTCCCCCTCAGAAAGAGGACCTCGAGGAGACAATCCATGGAGCTCGAGTGATATGTTCCATTCCTTTTGACCAAAAGATGAAACCTTCTTATTACCACAGCTTTGGTGAGTTCAAGGAAAAATAAATCAATAATAAGCAAATAGACCTTGCTGGTCCTCATTTGTCATTGTAGCATAGGCCGCTTGGTTAGCATAATTGATTGGAGCAGAGGGTTAACAAGGCAAAGTTCCTAAGTTCTACTCCACCATTAGTATTTCAGACAGTCCTCACTGTGGCCCATTACCCTCTGTGCTCTATTCATAAAGAAGATTGGATGGATGTGTGAGACTCAGTTCAAGTTATCTCTATTAGGGGGAAAAAACCCACAACTTCAAAAACATAACTGCTTAGTAACGGGCTGCTCAGTCAACAAGCATTTTTTTTGTGTGTCGAACAGTGCTAAGTGATGAGAATACAAATACAAGCATCAAGATCATCCTTTTTCTCAGGAAGATTATATTCTAATGGGAGTAGGTAGCAGATAAGAAAGTAGAAAAAAAAAGGGAGGAAGAGGAAGACAGAAGGGGGTGAGGGGAGGAAGGGGGAGCATGATAAAGAAAATCTGAAGTGCAGTCTGGAGAGAATGAAGAAGTATGGCTGGCCTGGGTGCCCTCCTTAAACAGACGATCTGGAAGGATCCATTCAATTGGAAGGAGAAAGGCTACAGCGACTGGAGATACTTCCAGTGTATGAATTCCAGGGCTAGGGTAAGTGTCCAGGATGAAAATGTTTCTCGGACATGTGAGAGAGAGAGTGTAGAGGGTATTATCTGGAGAAGACTGTGACATTATCTTAGTATATGATTAAGGTGCCCTTAATTCTACCTTACTAATTTGAAAGCATGATAGGAAGGAGTTATTTAAATCTTTAGGAAACACTCTCTGTAGGTTTCTTCAGGATTGCTACAAAAATATGTCTTCTCTTGCATCTTAAACCATGTTGTCCAAAATGCTCCAGCATGTGAATTCTTGTGCATATAGTACCACAAGTTCTTTTGTTCTGGCTAAGCATAAAATTTCCAAATGATGTGGGACACCTTATGTGGCACCTCCTTTTTTATGTATAGTGTATCTGGATCAGCAGAGGATTCATGTCAGTATTTCCTGGCATTTCCCTTCATTTTGTGGGGATGGGAAATGCTATGCACAATGAAGCTGACAGAGAGCAAGTGAAGAATTACTACTAAGTGATCTTTGTTGAGGCCAATGATCTGCCCAGACATGGTTTTGTATCACCCAAACTGTTCTCCATAACTCAGAGTTTATTTTCTTCTGCTTTGCCAAATTCTAAGGTCCTCCAAGAGAATGTAAGCTCCCTGAGGCAAGGGACTATTTCATTTTGTCTTTGAATCTTCTGGTACCTAGTGCAGTACCTGGCATGCAATGGGTATTTATTAAAAGTTCATTGAATGAAAGACCAGTAAGCCAAGATTGTTCTTCTGCACCTTTCAGGAATGACAAAAAACTATGTCATCTTCATTGAGCAGCCCCTAAAGATGAATCTGTGGAAACTCATTACTTCCAAAGTTCGGGGGAAGGCCTTTTTGGATGGGATCAGCTGGGAACCCCAGCATAATACACGGTTTCATGTGGTGGATAAGCATACAGGACAAGTAGGTATTTTGACTGTATATGTCAGCAGTGGTTTCACACTACAGGAGCTTAATAAATATTTATTGCTTTAGAAAAGTTATTCAGAGATGAATTTCCACAAAATCCAGTTTCCATATTGTTAGTTTCTCACCACTGATGAGGATTCCTCCATTGGTATCAAGTATTCTTCCATGGTATCAAGAAAACTCAAGGTTTGCTCTCATCACCTTGGTTGGAACTCTTGGGGTGGATTTATGGGAGGACATAGGATCATAGGTGTAGAGTTGGAAAGGACCATAGAGGTCATTGAGCCCAACCTCCTCATTTAAAAGATGAAGAAACTGAAGCCCAAAGAGGTTAGATGACCCAACGTCACATTTGAGCCCAGGTCTTCCTGGGTTCTCTAGAGTCACACAGGATACAATGAATGAGTTGTAATATTTTGGGAAGGAATTCCCACACTGATATCCTGTGGTATTGGAGAAAGCTAAGTGGCACAGTGGATAGAGTTCTGGACCTAGAGTCAAGAAGACCTGAGTTCAAACCCAGTCCCAACCCCTTCCTGGCTATGTGACCCTAGACAAGTCATTTAACCGCCAGGTGCCTCAGTTTCCTCAACTGTAAAATGGGAATAATGGCATTTACCTGGTAGGGAGATTGTGAGGATCATATGACATAATGTTTGTAAAGCACTTAGCACAATGCCTGGCACATAGTGGATGCTTAATAAATGCTTACTGGACATCCACTGGACCGCTGGCACAATTTCTTACTCTGCCCTAGGAACTGCTAATCTTATCTCCTTTGAAACATGGATTTTATCCGTCTCCATGGCCTGGATTAGCTATTTGTACTTAATACAGCAGGTTATGCATATTAGAATCACTTTAGGAAATGATTATATTAACCAGCTGAATCAATTAAAAGGGCATCTGTGAACATTATCCTAGCAGTGTCTCTTCCACATGGCAGTTATTGCTGATGTAGGTAAAGCATGTGTAGCAGTCTCATAACTTCCTCAGTTATCCACTGTCTAATTATAAGCTCTCTTAACTCCCTGGTATGGTTACAACAATGCTTACAAAGTCTGGAGTCTCATCCTCCTGTTTCACAGTGCTGGCTGATGATCAGGTCCACATTCTAGGTTTCTGTCCCAGAGGGCCATTAAAAATGATAGGTTTCTTGGAACCCCTTGAATAATTTTTCTGGGGGGGCTAGGCAATGGGTTAAATGACTTGCCCAGGGTCACACAGCCAGTAAGTGTTATGTGTCTGAGGCTGCATTTGAACTCCTGAATCCAGGGTCCGTGCTGTATCCATTGTGCCACCTAGCTGTCCTGAATTTTTTTTTTTTGGTAAGCATAGACCTACATTGCATATAGACCCAGAGATTTCTAGAGCAGAGAACCTCTGTGTGTGTGTGTGTGTGTGTGTGTGTGTGTGTGTGTGTGTGTGTGTGTGTGTGTGATTATAAGGATAGAGTTAATTTGGGCTCAAATACCTCTAAGAGACTGCCAAATCAGGAAGTTAACACTAGCTGATGTAGCTTCTGTGAGATGGTTCCACTTGCACTTATCCTAGCATCAAAAAGGCAACTTGATGCCCCAAACTAAAAAACTCATTTTAAGTGGTTATTTTTCTTTAACATATAAAACAATGGACAGGGAACTGACACTGGAGACAGGAAAACCTAGGTTCAAATCCAGCTTCTCATACATACTGGCTGTGTGACCTTGGATGAGACACTTGATGTTTTAGGGCCCTAGACCAGAGAAGTCACAAACATAGCTGGCAACACGAACCAGATTAAAATGTAATTGGGAAATAGTTAACAAAATAAATAAAAATACAATAAAATATAGCATTACATTTTAAAACTAAGTCTGACTTGACGTTTACTAGCTGTGTGACTCTGGGCAAGTCATTTAATCCCAATTGCCTCACCCCCCCCAAAAAAAAAGTAGAACTAAGTCAGTATGCTGCCCACATGGATTCTTATGTACATATCAGTAGCCCCATTTCTATTTGAGTTTGACACCACTGGTCTAGATAACTCTAAGACTTATCATTTGCAGAGACTGACTTGCCTTGGTTTGTCACCTAGAAGTTCCTTGTATCAGTGAAATCAGAGTTAGGTCTAATTCTTAATTGAATCCATAGTCAGCTCTCTTCTCTGCTGCCAGAGGTCTTGCTTCTTTGAAGCTGCTTCCTTCCTGAAATATTGCTCCTCTCTATGTCAGTACCTCTATAGAGAGTGTGTATCTCACTGTTCCTTGTTGTGTGTGTCCTACCTGTGCCTGGAACTACCTAGAACTGTTCTATTGTCTTTTAATATGTAGTCTTCTATTGTCCAATGGACAGGTCTCCTAATTTTATCAGTAGAACTTCACACTTCGAAAAGGCATAAATGGATGCTAATATATCTTTGCACCTATAAATACCTTATTGCCTGTTATTTGCTCTTTGCTTTCTCCAGTTTTATCAACTAGGAGGTGGTGGAATGGTGAAGAACAAAATTTACTGTTCCTTTTATTTCATGTCTTCCTGATGGCACTGTTGATATTTCTGCAGCTTACCAAAGATACCTGTTTTTCTGACCCTGCCTGTCATGAGTTTATAGCTTGTCCTAATTTGCTGTTTTCTGCATATATGTTAAAGATGTTCTCTATCTGATCATCTGGGTCATCAATGAGAATATTGAACATGCAGTCCTGAGCTATTTCATGCAGGACCTGGCTATATCTCTATGGGCACACTACCCAACAATGTCACTTTTCTGAATAGAAACTTCAAACTCTTTGTGGTGGTTTTCTAACCCTATTTCTTCCATGTGAGAATGTGATACACAGTAGAGTCGTTGTACAGTCCAAGGATCCAGGACCAATGTCAGGATATGCTACCCATAAGTTTGCCAGATCTGCCACACAATCACATCAACAGAATCCTAACTTTTGATTTTCCTATATTTAAGTTATTTGAATCCTGGTGTCATAGAGAAGGAAAAAAAAACCCCTCACTTTTGTTTTCTTTCTTTGCAGCTCCTTCCAGGGGTATTTTATAGTAAACCTTTTATTAGTTTTCATCAAATCAATGCCTTTGAGGACCAGGACTGTGTTGTAGTGGATCTGTGTTGCCATGATGATGGTAGAATCCTGAATGCTTACCAGTTACAGAATCTACGGAAAACAGGAGAAGGGCTGGACCAGGTAAACTTTTGTTGTCATATATGTAATGAAAGAGAGAGCCCCGCGTGTAAGGAAGGAGAACAAGTGTGCTGGGGACAATGTCCTTGTGTGTAGCTTGAAGGGAGACAGAATAGATATCTCAAGACTCTTCTCCCTCCATCTTTCTCCAAGGAAGACTTTCATTCCTGCCAAGAGGGAAGGCAGGAGGTTGGGACTAGAGGCCACCACTCTACTCTTCTCAGAGAGTGAGGGTACCAGGCTAGAAGTATATATCTGAGTCCCTTAAAGATTGTTCATCTAGGAGATGTGATCAATTAATTTTTTATTACTTTGTCCTTTTTTGGATAGGAATGCCTTGCCTTTCATGAGGGGTAGAGCATTCATCTCTGCCAACAAGGAGAGTGTTTCATACCAATGGGCTTCAGGAAAGACATTATATTTCAGTGGCATTAAACCTGCCAGTACCAGGCTTAGGGAGTAAAACTGCTTGTTTCTTTCTTGGGAATTAGAGACCTACAAGGATTTGAAGTAATTTTGTAGCACTAAAGTCAGAACTACTTTTGTTTATTTAAGATTTATATTCCAATTGCTCCCCCAAATGAATTTGAGGGACCTTATAAAATCAAGAAATAATATGGAATGGTGGATAGAATGCTGGCCTTGGGGTCAGGAAGGCGTGGATTCACATTCCACTTCTGACAGTTAACTGTATGACTCTGGGCAGGTCATTTAGCATGTCTAAGTTTTAGGCTACTCCCCAGGACTTACCTAATAATTTGCAGATAGATTTTGCTCTGCAGTAGTGGAGGGACTTCCCCTACTGGATTGAAATTACAGATCCTTCTTATGTGTTCATCGATAAAATCAATCACAACACAAAATAGAATGACTAAAAATAAAAACCGAGCAAAATTAATTAAAAGGATCAGAGAATTAAATATTACTAGACACATGAGATGAATTGATTACTGCAGCTGAGCACTGAATATAGCCATGCATTTCCTGGCAGCCAAAGGATAAAAAAAGAAACAGGTTAGGGTTGATAATTCTCATTGTATGGCAAATGAAAACATACATGTTTATGCTTCATGTTGGTAATTCAGCCACTAATGCAGATCATAATCCCTTCTTGATTTTGTAAGGAGGGTTTATTTTTGGTTCGGGGATTTTACTGTGACCCCCAAAATTCATGATCTAGTGATTAACCTTCTGGAGATGAGCCTCTCTAAACTTAATTAGACTAGTCTTCATATGACAGGTATGTAGAAAATTGACAACCCTGTTCTTAAATTCTTTCCAGCTTGGTAGGGCATGTAGAGCATATAGTCTGGTGGTACATAACCTTTGGCAACTCAGGGTCATCTCCATGTTACAGGCATCAGTGTTGGCCTTTTTCCTGGTACTTAAAGAGGAATTTGTGCTCCTTAATTTAACAATCTTAAAAGAGCTTTCAAAAACTATAGAATTGCAGAAAATCAGTGTTGTTAGGGACTTCCAGGTAAAGAGCAAAAAACTGAGACCCAAAGATAAGTGACTTGCCTAAGATCGCACAGGCAACTCAAGGGAGAACTGGAACTAGCACCCGGATCAGCTGGCTCCCAGTCCAGGCCTCTCTTCTGTAGCGCAGTGACTCTTCATTGTAACACCCTGCCCCTCCAGTGTTCTTTGCTACCTGAATTGTTGGTTTATGCTTGTAAGGTATATGTGTGTGGGTTGTCTAAATTTATAGATGTAGCTCATGGGTGGCAGGGACAGATATGATCTGAGGTTGGCCAACCTTTGCAGTCAGGAGAAAGGCCACACCTGCATCCCCAGCTTATTAGCTGGGCAATATCTCCTCTAGTTTCTAAGAGGGACGTTAGACTAGAAACATATCTATGTGCCACTCCTTAAATGTCTCTGTTCTAGGGGTACAGTAGGTTCAGAAGGAAAGCAGCTTCCCTGACTGCTCTTATGAGGGAGTGTAGCCCTTAGCCTAACCTTACCAGCTTACTCCTCCACACTAAATGCTATTTACACACACACACACACACACACACACACACACACACGCACACACGCACACAAAGTCACAAACAATGAATAGCAGTTAAGTCCATCTATCCAAGCAAAACAGCAAATTGAAATCTGAGTTCTACAGTTTTGAATATACCAGAGAATATTCAAAAGTAAATGAGTCCTTCACCAGGGATTAAGATAAGATTTCAGCTTAAACCAAGAGAGAGAAAATTATCTCACCCAAGGGAAGTTCTTTCTCAGCAGTCTCTAGAATTGCAGGTCCCGGATGTCAAGGAACATGATGGGGCCAGCTCCCATACATGTCTGCAGTTTGGGGCAAGGTTGCAGGGTTGCAAGGAGAAGGTGGGATTCCAGTCTATCATTCAAATTATGTCTCTCTTGACTACCTCCCAGGAGATCTCCTCACCTTGTGTGTTTTTGAAATGTCTGAAACCAACCAAAGTAAGTCCCTTATGGCAGGCCCAGAGGGAAGTGCTCTAAATTGTCCCAGCCAATCAGGAGTCATACCTCCCACTGCTTACTATGATGTTATTTTCTCTCAAAACTGCTCCAGGCTTAATTGGAAGCCTGATTACACATTAAATTCAAGGTGGATTTTTCTGGTAAGTTTTGACATGTGAATGTTGTATATTGTTGATTAAAGAGTGATCCATATGCTTTAAAACAGGGATTCTTCACTTTTTTGTTGTTGTTATTGGTCATGGACCCTTTTGGCAGTCTGATGTGGCCTATGGACCCCTTCTCAGAATGTTTGTTGCCTACACTCATAGTTGAAAGAAATACTAAATTTCAGTGAGAATTTAGTGAAAATAAAGATGTAATGTTTTCCCCATTTAATTTCATGGGTCCCCTGAAATCTACCCATGGATCCCTTGAGGATCTGCAGATCCCACCAGGTTAAGAAAGAAGCATAGAGAACGCAGAGGTGACATTCCATGGCAAAGTTTGAGGAGCCTTGTATTCTTAAGTAGACAGTGTGCCAACCCACTTCTCCCACGTCCTCCTCTCAGAGGGTAAGGCCTTTATTTTCCTTAAAAGGGAAACTCTGTCCCAGTACTTGGACAAATTCTTGGTTGAACTCCTATGGTTCTGCACCATATAACATGAAGTACATTTTCAAGGGCAGGTGTGAGTTGTCTGAACTATAGAAAGACCTTCGATTGGCCCCAGTAGGCCATCTTAGTAGAACTGTATCCTGACTGGTCTGCCGGGTTGAGTTAGTTGGGAATGCCTTCTCATGTAGTTGAATGAACTGACGACTTGGCAGATAGGATTATCAAGTATTGTCCTTTTAAATGTTGGAGGATGTCTGTCAAATAGAATGATTTTCATTTTGTTATAGTTGATGCGAAGCTACTCCTAATAACAGTTAGCCAACAGGCTCAACTGCTTCTTAAAAGTCTGCTCCTAATTAGAGATAATAAAGCCATGTAATCAGCATAGAGGCAGATGCTTGGTTTCCCATTTGCTGTGGCTAAAGGACATGTATCCAATTTATCAAATGACTGTCCCAGTTATTTAAATATAGATTGTAACAAGGTGTGGGCTGGGTCAGAACCCTGTTATATGACATTTTGGATTAGCAGTTCATTTATCTTTAAATTTTTCCACCCTATCCTGATTTTATCAGTAGTATTATGATGTAAATTTAAAAGAAACATTACTAGACTAGGATTAATAATAATAGCTGGCAATTATATAGCTCTTTGAAGTTTTACAAAATGATTTTCAGATATCTCATTTTATCCTCATAACAACCCAGCAAGATAACAACCCTGCTATTATTATCATTGTTTTACAGATAAGGAAACTGTAGCTGAGAGATGTTAAATGACTTGCCTAGGGTCCCACATCCATTATGTTTCTGGGGCCAGACTTGAATTCAGGCTTTCTTGATTTCAGAATGTGTGGTCTATCCTCTGTACCACCTAGCTGCCATGTTTTATTTATGCCAAGATTAAATCATTTGCTTCATAGACAATATTGCTATCATGTGTGGGACTGTGCTTGAACCTGATTGCCACAGGGAGGCACCACTAGTTTAGGTGAGAAAAATGTTCTGGACATGCAGAACCCATTGTAGTTATAGTGGTGTAGTTGAAAGAGCACTGAATTTGGGGTCATAGGACGTAGGTTCAAGCCCAGGCTCTGCTACTTAGTAATGTATATGTATATGACCTTAGTATGTATATGTATATGACCTTGGAAAAATCACTTAGCTTCTTTTGGTTTCAGTTTACTTCTCTGTAAAAACAAAGGGATCAGACTAGATTATTTCTAAAAATCCTTCTCACTCTGAATCTCTGATCCCTTCCAGTTCTAAATCCTTTGATTATCTCTATTTGTCAGGCTCAGAGACAATGAAATTCAGGGTTAGAAAAAGTTTCAGGGGAAAATGATCCCCTTAAACCAAGATTAGAGAATTATAGAATCTCAGGGTTAGATGGGACCTTACAGAGGCTGTCAGCATAGTGGAGGGACAAAAGAAATGCAATGAGGTAGAGATGGAAGCAGGGCATAGGGTAGACCACATGATGCACAGGCTAGAGACTACCCCCAAGAGACTTCTGTGCTGCTAAATGAGAACCCTTGGGATGAGGTTGGTTGAGTGCACTCTCACATTTACCCAGAGCTGCTGCAGCCATTTAAGGGAAGTAGTTAGAATAAATAGTGCTCATGCATGTGTGATAAATCTTGTGGGTGTGGCAAGTGAACATGGTTTTGGTGTCTAGGAAGTTATGGGTATGGTGTATGTGTGTGCGTGTGTGTGTGTGTATCCATATGCTATGTTGAGCGCCCTCCCTTTGGGAATAGCAGCCAAGGTAGCTGTACTTGTATCCCTATGGTATTGTGTATATGCATTGTGCCTAGAAATTTGTGTGTGTATATATGTATATATGTGTGTACATATACATATATATGGAAAAAGAGAGAGAGAGAGAGAGAGTGAGAGAGAGAGAGAGAGAGAGAGAGAGAGAGAGAGAGAGAGAGAGAGAGAGAGAGAGAGAGAGAGAGAGAGAGAGAGAGAGAATGATTTACCTAGGGTCAGTGGACATTATGTCCCTGAGAACATACACTCTTAACCATTACCCTGCCCTAAGGGAGAATTTGTGCCAGTAGTTGGGGAACCCAACAAGACATAACCATATCAAGCAATTAAATTATCAATAATACTGTCTCCTTGGTTACAGCTGTAAATGAAATTTCCCCTAGAATTATTCTGTGGGTTAGCACACAGTATTATGAGATTATGAGGATAACTGGATTTGATGAGGCATTTTCCTCTTTGGTTCAGGCATGAGAAATATCCCATAGGGAAACAGTCTTCCCAATCCTGACTTTCTGTGGATAAAGCTTTGGCAGAACTAATTCCATTGTTGGTGTTCAACTTTGCTAAAATCAGTGTCTGCTTTATTTGGAAAAAAATGCTCTTTGCTGTATTCCAGATACCTGAAGCCTCCATCTACATATGATCAGGAGGGCTGTAGATGCTCAGGCCTTTTAGGGTGGTCTTGTCAGGAAACTGGATCAGGGTTGAAAGGAGTTCATTCTTGCTATTTATACGAGGTAGTTTAGAAGCTTACCCATTAATGAGAACTGAATTCAATATGGCTAGTCTGCCCTTGCTTTACCAAATTTAAGAAAAAAAATTGTAAGAGAATTTCTGTAAAAAAATTCTAGATTATTAATATCCAAGTCTCTTGACTAGATGCTATTAAAGCATGAGAGGATGGTTAGAAAATCAAATCTTTCCTTTTGCCTTCTCCATCTTGCCATATTCTGGGTTAAGATTTTAGTTATTGAGAAGTGTTAAAAATCAACTTCGGGGTAAAAAAAAAATTCATCTCTGTCTTTTGGGGATAGGAGCTATGTGCTTCCACAATGACTGAAATATTGATACCCCCTGGGGGTAGAAGGACCTCATTCATCTGGGAGGGGGGGACAGTTTAGCATTTGGGCACCATAGCAACCCTGTTTTCTGTACTGGTAGCATGTTCAAGTGTAGTCCAAGTGAGAATGAGGAGTTAATAAGGAGTTAATCAGATGTACAATGTTAAGATAGTCTGTGCCTGAGGAGAGTGGGATCAGGGAAGGGTGAGGAGTCACCCCAAGAGCTGAAAAATCAACTGAGAAGAAATTTGGAAGAAAATTATGGGGAGAGAGGGACAGGTTGATTAAAACTGCCATAAACTAGATTCCACTTGGGATCAGGATTTTGATCAGGTGTGTACTCAAGAAAGAATGAGGCTGAAGATCAGAATTATGGAACCTCTAAGTAGGAAGGGACCTCAGAGGCCATCAAATTCTTTCCATACTTGAACAAGAATCCTCTTGATAATCTACCTGACAAGTTGTCATCCAGCAGTTGCTTGAAGATCTGTCTTGAAAGGGAATTTTTTATCTCCTGGGGCAGCCCATTACACATTAAAGAGTTCTAAATGTTAGAAAGGTTTTTTTTCTTAAATGGAGCCTAAATCTACCTCTTGCCAGCCTCCCCTTATTGCTTCTAGTTCTGCTGCCTAGGGCTGGACAGTTTGAGAACTGGACAGAAATTGGAAATTGAGAAATTGGACAGAAGTAGAGGCACCAACAGGGGTATTGTTACCTGCATCCTAAAACTATTTAGAAGAATCCCCACTTTAGGAGTTGAAAAGAATAAGAGAATTCTTTTGTCATATTGAGAGGTAGATCAATTTACTTATATTTATTCTAATAGGCATTCTAATGCCTTAGTTAAGGATCCTCTATTCTGCCCACCTCCAAAAACCCTTACAGAAAGATTCAGAACCACCTGAATTATTTTCTAAAATTAAACATGTAAAGAGATTGCCTTGGGGGACTTTGCTTGGATATTATTTCCCACCTAGATCCTGCTTAGTCCATGCTAAGGGCTGATTAGGAGTCCTGGTTGCTGGCAGAAAGTTAGGTAGGTTGGAGAACATGGTTTCGGTTTGTGAATGTTTCCCTATAGAGACTGATTGTTTGGGGGTATAAGTCAACAACTCTGTTCTAGTAGCTCTCCTGAGATATTCATGAAGTGGGACTTATTGTTTTTTGGGGCATGGGTTGGGATGGGGAGAATTTAGCCTGTAATTTTTCGGAGTTCCCAAGAGCTTCGTGATGTTAGGTGTGGGAATGAATACCTCCTTCATAGGGCAGCCTGCTAGTCCAGGATGAGAGGTGGGGTGGGCAGCATTTAGGAATGAGAGTGGAGAAGCAGATTTGTTCCTGGCTGCTAACTGAACCATTCATGAACAAAATTACTGCATGTGGAATCAGAGAACCTGGATCTGAATCCTGACTTGCCGTCTGTTGGATTTTGGGTAACCTCTTTAGGCAACAGTTTACTCATCAGCACAATAAGAGTGAACTTGATGATCTCTAAAGGACCCTTCCTGTTCTAAATCCTTTGATTTATTTTGTTACTTCAGGTTGCTGGTATAAAACTTAAAAAAACCCTTAAAATGAAAATAAACAAAATGAAATGAGATGCAACAAAAAAGATAACAGAGTAGAAATTCTGAAAAGATTAACAGGACCACTAATGGCGCAGCAAGATCCTCTGTCTAAAGTGGCTAAAGTTAGTGTCCTAAGATAGTGGTTCTCAAACTGTGGTTCAGGAGCCCTGGAGTACATGTGTGTGTATGTATGTGTGTGTGTGTGTGTGTGTGTGTGTGTGTGCCTGCCTATTATTTTCAAAACAATACTTATATGTTTAATTTCCAGTATGATAAATACTGATAGATATAATTCACATAAATATTTTTGGGAGGGTTAATTTTTAAGAGTGCAGAAGGGTCCTGAAACTAAGACAGTTGAGGAGATGAAGTTGGATTTCTTTACAGAGAGAAACTTTGAAAGTCTCTAGGGATCAAACACCAAACACCTTGGATATACAATGGTAGTGAAACGCCTTGTTTCTCCTTTTTGGACATTACATGCCCTAGAAGGGCGAGATAATTATCAGTTAAGGCAAAGTTCAGCTGTTCCACGAGTCATCCCCATGCAATTCCAGAGCCACAAACAAGACTAGTTCCTGTACTTGGCACTTCACAGCAACTCCTGAAATTAAAGAATGTATCCATTATTTACTTGCCTGTTTTTTGTCCAGTCTAGTTGTTTAAAATGTGGTGATTCAATTCTAAATTATAAGTAACTTGAATACAATTAGAACTTTCTAGTACTTAAAACATGGGCCGGGGAAGGGAGAAGGGTTCTTGTCAGGCTGCAGGCCATCTTTTCGCAGGTGAGTGTCCAGGAAGTCAAAAGAGAGGATATGTCTAGCACTATGCTATGCACATAGTAGGCATGCATTTAGTAACTGATGAATGGCTAGGCATTAGACTGTAACATTTTTCCATGAGGTAGCAAAGTGCTATTCTGTTTCTTCAATGATAACTCCCCTTTTTCTTAACAGGTCTACAACTCGGTGACAAAAGCTTTTCCCCGAAGATTTGTTTTGCCTTTGGGTATCAGCACAAGGGCCTCAGTGGGACAGAACCTCAGTCCATTGACCTATTCATCAGCTACTGCTGTGAAACAGGCAGATGGGAAGGTATTTTGTGAAGGCTTATTGATTAAAACTTTGGTCTTTGGGAGCAATACATACATACATACACATGAAAGCATTATGTGTTATACATAACATTAGTATGTAGTGTAGCTATAGCTAATATATATCTATACTATACATACATATATACATATATACACATTAATATTACACACGCATATACGCACACTAATTGCTTGATGACTTGGGGCCTAGTAGGTTTCATAAAATGAAACTTGGAAGAATAGGGTGGGTCATTCTCTCTTTTTTTTTTTAATTTAAATTTTTTTATTTTTTCCATATGCTTTTGAGTTGAAAATTTTTCTCCCTTTTCCTCCCCCTCCACCCTCCCCAAGACAGTGCGCAATCTGATATAGGCTTTACATTTACATACCCATTAAACATATTTTCTCATTAGTGAAGTTGTAAGTAAAAATTAAAACCAACATGAGGAACTATCAGAAAGATGAAACAAAACTCAACAGAAGGTAAAAATAAGTGATAGCGAGTCGACTTCCATAGTTCTTTCTTTGGATGTGGACAGCAGTATCCATCCTGAGGCCTCTGGAAATGTCTTAGATCCTCATAATGCTGAGAAAGGTTCAGTTTAACAATCTTAGTCATTGCATAACGTGGCTGTTATTGTGTACAAAGTTCTCTTGGTTCTGCTCACTTCACTAAGCATCAGACCATATAAGTGTTTCCAGGTTTTTCTGAAGTCAGCCTGTTCATCATTTCTTATAGCACAATAGTATTCCATTACATTCATATACCACAACTTGCTCAGCCATTTCCCAATTGATGGGCATCCTCTCAATTTCCAATTCTTTGCCACCACAAAAAGAGCTGCTATGTATGTTTTTGTACATGTGGGTCCTTTTCCCATTTTTTTGATCTCTTTGGGATATAGCCCTAGAAGGGCTATTGCTGGATCAAAGGGTATGCACATTTTTTGTACCCCTTTGGGCATAGTTCCAAATTGTTCTCTAAAATGGTTGGATCATTTCACAACTCAGGTGGGTCATTCTCTTAATAAAAATGTTACTCTCACTGTCTTGTGGCTGGGCAGGGGTGAACACTAGATGCTTGTCGATCCATGTCATGTTACAGTGTCATGCTGTGTGGCTTATCTTCAGCTCACCACATATAACTGATGTCAGGGATGGGGCAGAAACGGTGTAGAACTCACATAAAACAGTCTTATGCTTGTGGTGTGTCCAAGACCTGAGACTGACACTGATCAGCACTACTATGGTGGGACTGCTCCAATTTCTTTGAATTTATATATCCAGAGCCTTTGTCCTGATGAGGATCACCACCATCATCACCACAACCAGTTAACAGATTGGCTGTTGAAAGGTATATAATTTTCAGTCCTCTAACGTCTTTCATGGCTTTCATATAAATTCCAGAAGTAAGAATAGTTGAGAAAGTATTGATGTGGTATAGGGGAAAGAGTGCTCAATTTGGAGTCAGAAGACCAATCAGGTAACCAAACAAGCAATAAACATTTATTAAGCCCCTACTATGTGCCAGGCACTGTGCTTAGCTCAGGGAATGCAAAAAGAGGCAAAAGACAGTCACTGCCCTCAAGGAGCTTACAACCTAATGGACTAGGGTTCAATCTCCACCTTTGTCACTACATGTGTGACTTTTTGATTAAGTGGTTTTCATGGAATTATTTTGGGCCTCAGTTTCCCTATCTGTCAAATGAAGATGTTGGCCTAGATCGTTGAGATCCCTGCCAACCACAGATTGACTTAGAAAAGCACATGAACATTATCTATGTTGTATTGTATTTTAAATTTATTTTGTTAAACATTTCCCAACTACATTTTAATCTGGTTTACCATCCTGGAGAGTTTTGTTGCTTCAGCCATGAGTTTGATGCCTCTGGCCTAGGTGACTTCTAAGGTTCCTTCCAGGTCTAAAACTATGACCTGATAAAATATGACCAGAAAATTCAGTTTCCAATTCATTTTCTAAACTCTGGAGTATTTCAGCCAACTCTCTAAAAATCTGTGCCAGAAGATAGAAACCTGATTTGGACAATCATTTTTAAAAATAGATTTTTATTGATATCTTCTTTACATCATGCATTCTCTCCCCCCTTTTCCTAGTCATCCCTTAAAACAAAGATATTTTTTTAAAAAAGGAAGAAGAGAAAAATATTCATCAAATCAAATCAACACATTAAAAGATCTGCTGTTATATGCAGTATTCCACACTCATGAGCCCCACATCCTCCACCTCTGCAAAGGAGTGGGAAAGAAAAAGAAATGTTCTCATATTTCTTCTTTGGGACCAAGCTTGTTCTTTGTAATCCTGCAACATTAAGTTTCAATTATCATATAGTTGCTCTTTTCATTTACATTGTTATAATCACTTTGTATATTGCTTTCCTTATTCTGCTTACTTCTCTTTTCCAACAGTTTATGTAAATCCTTCCACGATTGTCTATTCATCATGTTTGTTGTTTCTTACAGCATAGGAATATTTCATTGAATTCATGTACAACAACGTGTTTAGCCATTCCTCAATCAGTGGGCATCTACATTGTTTCAGTTCTTTGTTAATGACCTCCTTGTGATAGATACTTAGTGGAATCTCTGGGTGGAAGGTTATAGGCATTTTAATTATTTTGTTTGCATAATTCCAGATTGTTTTCCAGGATGGTTGTACCGATTCATAGCTCCACCAGCAATGCATTAATGTGCCAGTCGTCTCAAAATCTTTCCAACACAGACTATTCTGACTTTTTGTCAGTCTTTGCCAATTTGGTGGGAATGAAGTAAAGCCTCAGATTTGTTTTGATTTGTGTTTCTCTTATTGGTGATTTGAAGTATTCTTTCATACGGGAGTTAACAATTTGCAGTTTTTCTTTGGAGAACTATTTGTTCATAATAACGTAGCAGTTCATGTTACCCAACCTCCCCTGGGCCCTCATTGCAGCATGGTAGACCTTTTATTCTCCTATAATTGATTCCTTATCCCACTCCTCACAGTAGCTATTCCAAACCTTCTCTTTCCTCTTTAAGTCTTCTGAAAGTCCAAAAGCTCTGAAAGAGGTGTAAAGGTTAAGCAGGATTCAAACTCAGGTCTTCCAGACTCCAAGTCCAGCAGTCTATCAACTATGCCATTAGCTGGCTTTCAAACTCTCAGCTTATCTACTGTTTTCTTCCTCCTGCTTTCAAACATGTCCAAGTCCTTCCAGTCCTTAAAAAAAAAATCTTTGCTAGGCTATCATCCTCACACTATTATCCAATATCTCTCCTCCCTTTCTCAGCTAGTCTTCTAGAAAAAGCTGCATATCCTCATTGTCTCCACCTCCTTTTCTCTCATTCACATTTCAACTCTTTATATTTGTCTTCCCACCTCATCACTCAACTGAAACTCTAAGTTATCATCAGTGATTTCTCAACTGCCCAATCTGATGGTCTTTTCTTAGTCCACATCCTTCTTGACTCATCTGCTGCACTTGACACATTCTGGACAGTCTCTCCCCTCTGGGTTTTAGTGATGCCACTCTCTCCTGGTTCTCTTCCTACCTGCATCACCATTCCTTTTTAGGCTCTTGCCAGCTCATCACCTAAGCCCTTTTTTCTTCTCCCTCTACACTCTATCATTAGATACTGGAGATTTAATGATCACCTTTAGGTAGATGACTCCCACATCTATTTATCTAGCTCTGGTCTCTCCCCTGAGTTTCAATCCTTCATTATCAGTTGGCTATTGGATATTTCTTTTTTTCAAATTTAAAAAAAATTTTCTTATATGTAAATTTATTTATTTTCAGTTTTCAACATTAACTTCCACAAGTTTTTGAGTTCCAAATTTTTCTCCCCATCTCACCCTTCCCCCACCCCAAGATGGCATGCATTCTGAATATCCCTTCCCCTAGTCTGCCCCTCTTCTATCTCTTCCCCCCTTCTCTTATCCCCTTCCCCTTCTATTTTTTTGTAGGGCAGGACAGACTTCTGTACCCCATTTCTTGTATTTCTTATTTCCCAGTAGCATGTGAAAACATTTTTTTAAACATATGTTTTTAAAACTTTAGGTTTCAAATCTTCTCCCTTCCTCCCTCCCCCCCACCCTCATTGAAAAGGCAAGCAACTCAATATAGGTTATACATGTGCAGTTATGCAAAACACTTCCATAGTAGACATGTTGTGAAAAACTAACTCTATTTCCCTTAATCCTATCCTGCCCTCCCATTTATTCTATTCTTTCTTTTGACCTGTCCCTCTTCAGAAGTATTTGCTTCTGATTACCCCTTTCCCAATCTGCCCTCCTCTCTATCATCCCCCTGTTCTCTTGTCCCCTTCTCCCCCTATTTTCCTATAGGGTAAGACAGATTTCCTTACCCAATTGAATGTGTATGTTATTCCCTATGAGAATAAGATTCACTCATTCCCTCTCACTTCCCCCATTTCCCCTCCACTGTAAGAGCATTTTCTTTTCTGTTTTTTTTTGTGAGATAATTTACCCCATTCTACCTCTCCCTTTCTTCTTCTCCAAATATAATCCTCTCTCATCCCTTAATTTTATTCTCCAGATATGACCTTAATCTTCAACTCACCCTGTGCCCTCTATCTATCTATCTATCTATCTATCTATCTATCTATCTATCTATCTATCTACCTACCTATACATACATATAATTTTTTCCTCCAACTACCCTAATACTGACAAAGGTCTCATGAGTTATAAATATCATCTTTCCACTCAGGAATGTAAACAGTTCAACTTTAATAAGTCTCTTATGATTTCTCTTTCCTGTTTACCTCTTCATGTTCCACTTGAGTCCTGTATTTGAAAGTCAAATTTTCTATTCAGCTCTGGTCTTTTCATCAAGAATGCTTGAAAGTCCTCTATTTCACTGAATGACCATTTTTTCCCCTGAAGGATTATACTCAGTTTTGCTGGGTAGGTGATTCTTGGTTGTAATCCTATCTCCTTTGCCCTCCGGAATATTATGTTCCATGCCTGCGGTCCTTTAATGTAGAAGCTGCTAAATCTTGTGTTATCCTGATTGTGTTTCCACAGTACTTGAATTGTTTCTTTCTGGCAGCTTGTAATATTTTCTCCTTGACCTGGGAACTCTGGAATTTGGCTACAATATTCCTAGGAGTTTTCCTTTGGGGATCTCTTTCAGGAGGAGATTGGTGGATTCTTTCAATTTCTGTTGTGCCCTCTGGTTCTACTATATCAGGGCAGTTTTCCTTGATAATTTCTTGAAAGATGATGTCTAGGCTCTTTTTTTGATCATGGCTTTCAGATAGTCCAATAATTTTTAAATTCTCTCTCCTGGATCTATTTTCCAGGTCAGTTGTTTTTCCAATGAGATATTTCACATTGTCTTCTATTTTTTCATTCTTTTGGATTTGTTCTACTGTCTTGATTTCTCATAAAGTCACTGTCTTCCAATTGCTCTATTCTAATTTTTAAGGAAGTATTTTCTTCAGTAATCTTTTGGACTTCCTTTTCCATTTGGCCAATTTTTCTTTTTAGGGCATTCTTCTCCTCATTGGCTTTTTGGACCTCTTTTGCCATTTGGGTTAGGCTATTTTTTAAGGTGTTATTTTCTTCAGTATTTTTTTGGGTCTCCTTTAGCAAGCTGTTGACTTGTTTTTCATGATTTTCTTGCATCACTCTCATTTCTCTTCCCAGTTTTTCCTCTACTTCCCTTACTTGCTTCTCAAAATCCCTTTTGAGCTCTTCCAAGGCCTGGGACTGATTCATATTTTTCTTGGAGGCTTTGGATGTAGGAGCTCTGACTTTGTTGTCTTCTTCTGGTTGTATGTTTTGATCTCCTTTTTCACCAAAGTAAGATAACATAGTCTGACTCTTTTTGCGCTGCTTGCTCATGATTCCAGCCAATTACTTGAGTTTTAAACTCTTTGTTAAGGTAAGAGTCTGCTTCCAAGTGGAGAATGTAGTGTCCCAAGCTTTGGGGGTTTATATAACTGTTTTCAGAGATACTTGTAGGGACCCATAAATTTTCAGTTCTTGCGAGGTGGTATGATAAGGGGTGAGGTGTTTACTCCTTTCCTGGCCTGTGCTGTGGTCTGTTAGTGACCACAAGTACTCCTTTTGGTCCTGTAACTGTGAGGAGGGTTTCCTGTCCACAGCCACTACAAGCTCCACCATGCCAGCGCTCCTCCTCACCCCAGGACCCCCATCCAGAACTGTGACCCAGATCTAAGCATGGGCAAAGCAAGAGATTCCTGCCCCAGCACCAGCAGAGAGATCCTTGCAATCCCCGTCTGATCAGCCACTTGATTCCCCCTCAGTCTGTGGGCGGAAGCTCAGGAAGCAGCTGCCCACCCCAGGGCTACATTCTCAGGGAACTGGAGCTGAGACCCTGCCTTCCTCTCTCAGCACTGCAGAAACAGACTTTTCCCACTGACCTTTTAAGTTGTCTTTGGCATTTGTGGATTGAGGAGTCTGGAAACTGCCAAAGCTGCCCGCGATTCAGTCCTCTGAGGCCTGCTCCAGGTTTGCTGCAACCTGCGTGCCCATGGCTATGCTGCGCTCTGCTTCCAGCCTATCGAGATATACCTTTCTGATCAATCATCCAGGTTGTCTTGGGCTGGAAATTTGTTTCACTCTGTCTTTTTGTGGGTTAAACTGCTTAGAATTTGTTTTGGCCATTTTTATAGGTATTTGGAAGGGTTTGGGGGAGAGCTCGAGCAAGTTGCTGCTTTCACTCTGCCATCTTGGCTCCACCCCTTGGCTATTGGATATTTCATACTGGATGTCCCAGGGACCTCTTAAACTCAACATGTCCAAAATTGAACTTATTAGCTCCACCCTCTCCTCTTCCAAACTTCCCTATTTCTAGCAAAGGCAGTATCATTCCAGTCTCCTAGGTTTATAACCTGGGCTTTATTCTGGCTTCCTCACTCTCTGTCTTCTCACATACCTAATTAGTTGCCAAATGTTGCCATTCCTATCTTCTTATCTCTTGTATCTGACCCCTTCCCTCCATTCACACAACTAGCTATCATCTTAGTTCAGGCCCTCATCATCTCTAGCCATTACCTCTATTGCAACAGCATTCTAATTGTTTTCCTACTTAAGGTCGTTCCTGTCCATCTTACATATTGCTGCCAAAGTAATTTCCTCCTTCCTTCCTTCTTTTCTTCCTTCCTTCCTTCCTTCCTCCCTTTCCTCCCTTCTTCCTTTCTTCCTTCCCTCCTGTCTTCTATCCTTTTCTTCTGTTCCTATATTGCCTGGGCTGGAAGTACAGTGGTCACACATGGGCCAAATCCAATACTTATAAGCATAGAAATTTAAACTGCTTTCATTTTTTGACCTGGGCAGGTTTACCCTTCCCCCCTCTTAGGCCACCGGTATTGTCTCCCAGGGACTCACAATGTTGATGCCAGACTTACCACAGGTACTTGTTAAGGCTGCAGCCCTACTGCTGTTTGGAACTCCTGAACTCAAGGAATCTGCTAGCCTCAGCCTCCCTCAGTAGCAAGGGTTTTAAGTGTAAGATATCACACAAAATCAAAGCAATTTTCCTTAAGCTTAGCTCTGACCATGTGAATCCTCCTTTTCCACTCAACCAAATCAATTGTTTCTTGGATAAACTATGAACTTCTCTGTTTAACTTTTAAAGCCCTAATAAGTTGACCCCAATTTATCTTTTCAGCCTCATTAGACATTACTCCCAATTGGCCTACTCTCCTTCTTCATATGTGACACTCCCATCTCCATGCCTTTGCAGTAGGTATCCCTTATTCTTGGAATGTACCCCCTCCTTACCTACACCTCATGGAGTGCTCTTTTCCTTTAAGATGCAAGACAAGCACAACCTTCTGCATGAAGGCTTTCTTGATTTCTACTACCTGCTAGTGTTTCCCTTCCCAAAGTACCTTGTATTTAACTACTTTGCCTGGTTTTATTCATTATTTTTATTCATTAGATACTTAAACCACCTATGTACAATACATATACTTGTTTTCCCCCTTAAATATAAGCTTCTTATGAATAGATTATTTCTTTCTTTGTACTTATGTCCCCAATGCATGGCACATAGTACATGCTTTATGAATACTTATTAGTGTAATTGATATTCTTTGACCACTTTTTTTTTCATGGTTCTAGAATTCTTTATTAATTTATTTTGATTTATCAACAATCACTTCATATGCTTTGAGTTTAAAATTTTTCACCCCCTTTCTCCTAACCACCCTCCCCAGGATGGCACACAGTCATATACATTCCTATTAAACATATTTTCACATTAGTGATGTTGTAAGAAAGAATTAGAACCAATAGGAGGAACCACTATAAAGAGGAAACAAAACTCAACAGAAGAGAAAAAAATAGCAAATAGTATGCTTTGATCTGCTTTCAAATTCTATAGTTTTTTCTTTGGATGTGGATAGCATTTTCCATCATGAGACCTTTGGAGATGTCTTAGATCCTTGTATTGCTGGGAAGGGTTAAGTTGATCAATATTAGTCATCTCACAAGGTGGCTGTTATTGTGTACAACATTCTCTTGGTTCTGCTCACTTCACTCAGCATCAGACCATACAAGTCTTTCCAGGTTTTTCTCAAGTCAGCCCGTTCATCATTTCTTATAGCACAATAGTATTATTCCATTCCAGTTCATATACCACAACTTGCTCAGCCATTCCCCAATTGATGGGCATCCTCTCAATTTTCAGTTCTTTGCCACTACAGAAAAAGAGCTGCTATGAATATTTTTGTACGTGTGGGTCCTTTTCCCATTTGTATGATCTCTCTGGGATATAGCCCTAGAAGTACTATTGCTGGGTCAAAGGGTATGCACATTTTTATAGCCCTTTGGGCATAGTTCCAAATTGCTCTCCAAAATGGTTGGATCATTTCACAACTCCACCAACAGACCACTTTTCTTTTGAGGAATAGTTTGTTGATCTCATTTATTTCTGTTAGTTATCTCTATCTCTTCGATATCAAATCTTTATAAAAGACTTTTTTTGATATAAAGATTTTTTCTCTGGTTAATTACTTCTTTTCATATCTTAGATACTTTACTTTTGTTTGTGCCAACTTTATGTAATCAACATTATCTACTTTATTTTTTGTAATGGCCTCTCCCTTGTCTAGTTAAGAATTCATCCCCATCCATAACTATGAAAAGCATGTGATCTGCTTCTCTTGCAGTTTTTTTCATGGTATGATCTTTAACATTCAGTCGTCTTATTTTCCTATCCTATTTATTGTGGAATATGATGTAAGATGTTGGTCTAAGCTTAATTTCTTCCAGACTGTTTTTCAGTTTTCCCAGCTGTTCTAATCAAATAGAGAATTCTTTCCTAGGTAATTTATATCTTTGGACTTGGCAAACATTGGGTTAATATAAGTTAAGTTATTTTTTATTCTTCCGTATTTCATCTGTCCCACTGATCTACTTTTCTGTTTTTAACCAGTACCAGGTGGTTTTGGTTATTATTGCTTGATATAGTTTGAGGCCTGGAAGTGATATTCCCTCTTCATTTTCTTTTATGTACTTCCCTTGATTTTCTAGATGTTCCTCAATGAATTTTGTTATTCTTTTATCTAGCTCTATGAAGTATCCCTTTGGTAGTTTGGCTTGGCATTAAATCTGGAAACAAACTTTGGTAGTATTGTTAGAAAGTCCTTTATGTTTCCTTTGGGGTCTCTTCTAGATCTGGTGCTCTCATGAAAATCTCCATCACGAGGATCTGGAAGAGGAAGGGGGCATAGAATTTCCCCAGATCAACTATGCCCAGTGCAACGGCATGAAGTACCGATTCTTTTATGGCTGTGGCTTTCGGCACCTAGTGGGAGATTCCCTGATCAAAGTTGATGTGGTGACCAAAAAACTGAAGGTGAAAACATGGAAATCTCCTTCATTTCCTTAAAGCTCTCAAGACCTATTTTGTTATTTGGCATTAGAAAAAAAAATTAAAATAGCTGCTAAGATGCTTTAATTTTCAAGCAGTCCTATCACCTACTGTATTTGGGAGGTGTGAAATCCCACCTGGAACACAGATTAAGAATTCATTTTTTTTCAAGGAATGTAAACAAAACACCATAGTACCAAAAAATTATTTCATGTTTGGTGTTTGGAGACAACAGTAGGATTAAACTATTAGGACAATTCCATTTCAGGTTGGCAGGACAAAAATTATGTTGGCTGATGATATCTGGGTCTAGGAAAGCTTATCTCCTCTTCTCCCCCACTGCACCTTTTCTCCTTTCTCCTCACTTCTCCACCAGTGCTAGGATCTAATTTAGTAAACCTAATTTTTTGTGTATATTAGAATGCTATCATAGGTACTAGAGTTAGGCTGGGAGTGAGAACAGCCACACATAAATTCTAACTGGCCACTAACTTCTTTATCATATATCCCAGGTATGGAGAAGGGATGGATTTTATCCCTCAGAACCTGTTTTTGTGCCAATACCAGGAGCCAGTGAAGAAGATGGTGGGGTTATTCTTTCTGTAGTGATCACTCCCAACCAGGTAACTATATTTCCTTGTTGTCGGTCAAGATAAAAAAATAGTTTAAACAGTTCAAAGCTTGGAATTAGTGATTTAACTCATCTTCAGTAAAGGGTAGGGACTAATTTCATTTTTAAAATTTATATCCCCTATGCCTAGCACAATGCCTTGCAAGTATACGTGCTTAATAATTGTTTACTGAATTAAACTGAGTTAATATCTAGTTGATATAACTCCTTCAGACCTTCCTGCCTTTCATCTTCTCTTTCCTTCAGCCCCTATCCAGTAGCCACACTGTACAACTCACTGCCCTTTTCTTATCTTTTCTTTTTTTTTTCCATGAAACTGACATAACTATGTTATGTACAGTTCTGTCAGTTTATATAAATCAATCAAGTTTCATTAATTAAGCATCTATCATATATGAGACAGTGCTAGGTACTGTTTCATCGAAACAGCAAAGACTCTTACACCCTAAAACATGGCATGGCAGCTCTAAAATGCTTATTATTGATTACTGTCTCCTCAGTGCCTTTTCAATGCCTTGAATGCCCTCTGTCCTCTTCTTTTTTCATTGAATTTCTACCTGTCCTTTAAGGCTTAATTCAAATACTAACTTCTTCATGAAACCTTCCCAGAATGCAATGTTGGTAGCAACCTTTCACCTTAGACCACAGGTAGCACTGTTTTGAATCTCTCTAATGTGCTTATCATGCAATTTTGTGTACTCTTGACCTAGAAGATTACATTTTATGAGGACAGAAACTGCTTTATCTAAACTTTATACCCTCTGCCTGTGCTGTGCATGTATCTACTGCTGAATCTAAACATTTGGGGGTTTCTTATTTCTTGACATGAGCTGACTATACATTCCTTTTCCTTAGTCCCTCTTACTTTTAAGGAGAGCAAGAGTGCTGTTTTCTTTTCCAGAATGAAAGTGCCTTTCTGCTGGTGCTGGATGCCAAGACCTTTGAAGAGCTGGGCCGAGCAGAAGTGCCTGTGGCAATACCCTATGGCTTTCATGGAACCTTTGTTCCCAAACAGTAGGGACACTGTCAAGGCCATGATGATGAAGTGGGAAATGGAAACACCCTGATACATTGGTACCCAGATGTATCTTCCTCATTCAGTCATCAATCAGTAAAGATATACATACATACATACATACATATATATGTATATATATGTGTGTGTATATATATATGTATATATATGTATATATATGTATATATAAATACACACATGTATGTATAAAGACAGTTCCTGCCCTCAAGAAGCTTATAATCCATTACAAGCACTATGCACCACAGCTATGAAAGTAGTCTGTTGTCTTGGCATTCTAAACCATGGACACTGGAGAGTAACTTTGAAATTAAAAGTGCCACTCATAGTGGTATAATTTTGCATTCTCAGAGTGCTTTTACTTTTAACACTAGGTGGCTTGAAAATATTAACCTAAATATGAATATCTCACATTTATATAGCATTTTAGTCTTTAAAATTAATTTTCTTTTTTTTCTGAACTTAACACTAAATAGAATGAACATTTGCATATAGAAAAAGAGGATTGTATATAAAACTGTAGGTTTCATAAACAATATGTTTATATATTATGCAATATATATATATATATATACATATACAACATATGTACACACACACACACATACATACATACAGCTCTCTCTCTTTTGTATAACTTTCTTTTCTTTTTAAGTATTTAATAAGACCAACCTACAGCTTTCAAAGGGCAGCTAGGTGGTACAGTGGATGGAGTGCTGGGCCTGGAGTCAGGAAGACCTAAGTTCAAATCTGACCTCAGATATTTCTGGGCAAGTATCTTAATTCTCTTTGCCTCAGTTTCCTCATCTGTAAACTGAGCTGGAGAGGGAAATGGCAAAACACTTTAGTATCTTTGACAGGAAAACTCAGGACTTAGAGTAGGAGGATCTAGATTTAGATCCAAGTTCTGGAACTAGAAGAGACCTTGGAAATTATTTAGTTCAAGCCCCTCAGTTTATAGATAAGGAAACTGAGGACCAGAGAAGAAAAGTGATTTGACCAAGCTCACAGATAAGAAGTAGCAGAACCTGGATCTAAATCTGGATCCTCCTACTCTAAGTCCTGTGCTCACTCCATTTCACCAAACAGGCAATTTCATGGCTTGTCCAGAAGCCTCCAATATATTGGATAGAACACTTGTGGTGAACTTCTGGAAGGACATAGGATTATAAAAGCATTTTATCACTAGAAGGGACTTTATAGGCTTTTGAATTCAACCCCCTCATTTTAGAGATGTGGAAAAAGAGGCTCAGAGAGAATAATTTGCCCAGGTTCACAGAGCTAATTAGTATTTAAAGTAGGGTTTGAACTTAGGTCTTCCTAACTACAAGCCCAGTGCTCTATCTACTATACCATGCTGGCTCAAAGAGTACCACAGGACAGGGAGGCATGGATAGATAGGTTCCAGTTTGTGTTGTTTTGGGGGAGGGCGAGACAGGATGGACTCCTAAACTGATGAGATTATAGTTTCATTTGAAAGCTACAAATTACAGCTAGCAAGTTGTAAACCTAGGATTCAAAATACATGTCTTCTAATAAGACTAGAAGCCTACTTTTTCAGTTTCCAAATGCTTCTACTTGTCTTTCCATCACACCTGGCTACCATTCACCTCACCTTTTCATTGGCCATATATAGCACCCCTAGACAATACAAATAATGCAAGCAAAATTAAACCATATTGTTATCATCATGGATAAAGAAAGGATGATGTCTCTGGGGGTTGGAGTTGGGAAGGAAGAGAAGAAATACAAATTATTACTATTTTGACTACTATGTATCTGAAAATTAATTTCTACTTCCCATCTTTGCCTTCTCCTCTCCTTAACAACTGCCTGAATTCATACCATCTTTCCAAAGTCACTCAGAGAACATCGTTATTGTCCCCTAAGACCCTGTGTTCCATAGGGACCAAAAGCAGATAAAGATGAAACAATAAAGAGGATTCCAAAAGAGACCTTAATTTATAAGGGATGTAAGGACAAGGTAAACAAATCCAAAACAGGTGAGCTATCTGTGAATCTTGTCAATTCTACCTCTTCCCATCAAACACATATCCTGTACTCCCCCAACTCAATTTTGGCATGGTGTAACGCAGTACTGCAGAATTGAGGTAAGCAACAAGCACCTTTAAAATTAATCCATTTGTGAGACTCACTTTTACTCTCCAAACAAACTGGAAACTACCCTTCAGTAATAGTTTCTCAACTATAATTCTGTCTTGACAGAGTTGGGCAGCAGGTGGCGACCCAGGCCACATAATTCCTGAATTTCCATTTACACTATTAACTTGGCTACTGTATTTCTCTTGGCTAAAGAGCAGTCAAAACACCTGGCTGATGATGCCAACTGCCTTTAGGAACCCCTCACCTGCTCATTTGCAAAATATTTCGTATGTAAATGGAATGCATAAAAAAACCCTTTCAATTAGCTGCTTTGCTGAACATGTATACAAACTCAAAAAACCCTTGTATCATGAGATTTAGAACTGGAAGGAAATTTGGAAATCATTTGATCCTAGAGATCATTTAGTCTAACCCTCTTATATTACAAATGAGGAAACAGAGACCCAAGAAGGTGACCTTGTCCAAGGTCACACAGGAAATGAGAAGCAGAGCCAAGATTCAAAGGAGGCAGGTCTTTTGGCTCCAGATTCAGGTATCTTTCTGTTGTACTACATCACCATCTCTGGGGTATAACTGGCTCCTGTTTGGTATTAAAAGAAAGTAGAGAAGTAACTATAAGACAGTGGGAGGGAGTAGGGAGAGAAATAACTTTAATTGTTGTTGTTCAGTTGTGTGTGATTCTTTATGACCCCTTTTGGGTTTGCTTGGTAAAGATACTGGAGTAGTTTGCCATTTCCTTCTCCAGCTCATTTTACAGATGAGGAAACAGGCAAACAGAGTGAAGTGACTTGCCCAGGGTCACACAACTAGTAAGTGTCTGAGGCCAGATTTGAACTCAGGAAGAGGAGTCTCCCTGACTCTAAGCCCGGCGCTCTAGCCACTGTGCCACCTAGCTGCCTTAATAATTTTAATATATGTATTAATATTATGTACTATTAATATAACAATGGGGCAGCTAGGTGGCACAGTGGATAGGGTGCCGAGTCGAGTCGGGAATCCAGATTTAAAATCCTTCCACAGATACTTACTAGCTATGTGAGCTTGACAAATTACATAGCCTCTGTTTACTTCAGTTTTCTCATTTGTAAAATGCAGATAATAATAACACCGACCTATGAGGGTTATTGTGAGTATTGAATGAGATTAATGTAAAGCATTTAGCACAGTGCCTGGCACATAAAACGGGCTGTATAAATGCTAGCTATATTGTTAATATTGTTGTTATTATTGTATTATTGCATCTGAGACATCAGTTTCAGAAAAATAGAGTAGTCCCATTTATATTTCCCTTGTTGCACCTTGCTGATATTCAGAATAATATCCACCCTTTCCTACCAAGCCAGTTTTCAGCCCTTTCTTTTTCCCACCAAAGTTTCTCCTCTCTAGCCCTATAACAACCAACAAAATTATGGGGTTAGGGCTTTTCCTAAGAAATAGCAACTTGGTCAAATTGTGCTGTTGGTTCCACATTACCCTGATACATTTTTATAGAAGGGAAATTAGATTTAAGTGAACATCAAGGACTACCTTGAAGGGGAAATGAAGTCACAAAAAGGTAGCCTGAGAATGCATTGGCAAAGAAGGGATGAGTTAGCTTCTTATTTCCATTTCATTTCCAAACCCACAGGAAAAATTTCCCTGTTCTTTTATTAATCAGTGAGACATCTTCTATTTCATTTTTCAATTATATTTAGTTGAATCATTTTTTGACACTGGAGGTATGAACTTATTAGGTTTGGAAGAATGATACTGAAAGAGACAACAGTGGAGCTGAGGTCAATTCCAGATGCTACTGTGAGAGTCTTATCAGTTTGTGAAAGCTGGTATTACCCTATACAAGGTTAATTTACAAGTATGTTAAGTGTAATGGAGTCCTGGTCAATAGGAGCCTCATCTCCAGTCCTCTTAAATAATGATGAATTAAAAGACAGTACCATATCATGATATTTCCATATGTCCTACAAGAAAAGTTTCCTTAATAATAGGTTGTTCTAAGGTTATATGTAAAACTTTACCTAGATATTTAATATTAGGACAAAAATGAATTTTTAAAGAAAATTTTCTACCTCATATTTTTGGGCTGATAAGGAGAGTTGTATGATCTGAGGGCACCATTTCTTGAGTTCCCAAGTCACCTTCATTGATTTAAGTGTAACCCAATGATGCCTGTCTGAGTATTGGTTCGGAGGCTGAAGGTAAACAACTTGCTCCTCTGTCTCCCACCTTTGGAATGAAAATGTACATGTTACTAGTCAAAACTGGCCACATCCTTTCTCCTCTGACCAGGTAGTTCCTACTTTATTATATGGTGAGTTCCTTGAGAAGAAGGACTGGCTTTTGCCTTTCTTTATATCTCCAGCACTTACCACAATGTCTAGTAGACAGTAGATCCTTAATAAATGCTAGCTGACTGACTAGTCACCACCCTTGCAAAATGCCACTGTACCTCAGGTGCTCAGCTCCCTAGTTGGTAGGATCCTGCTCCACCTGCAATTTTATCACTTTGCTTCCTTGAATTATGCTGCTGTTGCAACCACCATTGTTCTTATAGTCAACTACTCTTGCTTTTATAAGTTAAATGGTTGCCTCTGATAATGCCAAAATAAACTGTTCCGTCCACTGCCACAGTGCTCTTAGTTAAAAAACTCCCTGCGTGCAGGTGCAACCCATCTCTACAGCTCTCATAGCCTCACCCAACTCAGCTCTAGACAGCCTCAGTCTTTCCAAAGACAAGAAGAAAAATATTCGTCTGGGACACCATTTTCTTCTTTTTGTTTTATTACTTTTTTTTTAAAGGCAATTTTAAAGGCAACTTGCCCAGGGTCACACAGGTAGTAAGTGTCAAGTGTTTGGTCTGAGGCCAGATTTGAATGCAAGTCCTCCTGACTCCAGGGCCAGTGCTTTATCCGATGCACCGCCTAGCTGCCCCTGGGACACCATTTTCTAGAAACCTCAGTAGCAAGACTCCAAACACTTTTCCTTACAGAAAAAGTTACATACACCACCAGTGAACATCAGAGTCTCAAGCTTGGGTTCTGAAATCCCTATGAGGTAGATGGAGTTCCAAATTTCTATGTATCTCAAAGGAATTTCTACTTTGTGTAATAACTGTATCATCCTAGCTAGGTGGCTACACTCAAACACATCTTTGAGGGATACTAAATTATTTGTTGATAGCAATAATGACTTAGGGTCATTACATTATAGCTCTGGATAGACCTAGCAGAAAACTATCTTGTGAACCATTTTACCCAAAATATCAGTCCTTTTTCAGAGGAGAAAGTAAATTGTAACCCTAGGCCCCTCACAGTGTGGACAACCTAGAGACTTTGTGAGATACTCCCAGGGTCCTAGAGTATGACCTTTCCTGGGGCAGCACTGGAAGGGAAGGCCCAAGCTCAGAAATTGCTTTGGACCTTAAGTCTATCCTAGACCACATCTGGTGTTGCTGCCTCTGGGTTGCCTAGTTCAATGTTTTCCAAAGTGGGGGTTGGGACCTGAGCCCCAAGGGGTGTGTGATTAAGCAAATGGACAATAGAAAGATGGATTACATTCCATCCTTGTTGTCATAATTAGTCTTGGGACTTGTCTCCAACATACCCAAACATATCCTTATGCCCCAACACTTCCCCATCCTCCCTGCCTCTGTTTCACAAGTTCTTACCTACCTCCACCCTCTCAAGTGGGCTTTGGCTCCTCGGGGTAATTATAGCCAACTGCTACCCACTCATCTCACCCATAGCAGCTGAACAGATGCCATGAGGAAAATTCCACTCCATCCCGACAGACCTACCCCTACCCTGTCTCTTGAACCTGAAGGCTGTGGCAGATGCCCCTCAGAGGGCACTGACCTGAGAATTTGAGCCCCACTTCCTTTCTTTTCCTTTTGGGTGCAACTGAGTTTTACTGGAAGTAGGGGTGGCCTGTGACAGATTGCAGCTCTCTGTTATTTCTCTCCCCAATTCCACTCCTCTTCCATACTTCACTACTGATGACAGCACCACCATCCTTGCAGTCACTCGAATTTACAACTTTTGTCATCTTGAATCTTCACTCTCTTTCATCTCATATTCCCAAAAGAATTGCCAGATATCAACATAACTTATTATCTTTCCCAATGGCCCCTTTCTCTCTAATTACATAGCCATCACACTAGTTCGGGATCTCCTCACTTCTTCACCTAGACTATTGCATTATCCTAATTAGCCTCCCTGCCTCAAATCTCTCCTCCCTCCACACATCCTCCACATAACTGCCAAAGTGACCAAACTAGCTTTTGACCATTTTCCCCAAAATTGTTTTTATTTTTCCTAAATCTCAGATCCGACCTTGTCACTTCCCTCCTCAAGAAATTCCAGTGGCTCCCTACTGATTCTCAGACCAAATATTATTTCATCTTTTTAATTTTCATTTTTGGTTTGTGTTATAATGTACATAGCTTGTAATACCACGGTAAGATGCTTACAATTGATCAGTAAGGAAATATACAATATTTAAGGCACATGTTCTTTTAAAAATTATTATTACTTTTACTGATAGGGATGGGCAATCAAAAAGTTTGGAGGGCCTCGTTGACGTTCGGTTATTAAGCGAAGAGGGGGATGGTCTTGGTTCCTCTTGGCTACAGAAAACAAAATTAGGAGCTCGGGTGGAAGTTGCAAACGGGCGGCTTTAACAGGGATGCAAGAAAAACTGCCCTAAATTAGAATTATCCCAGGGCAGCGCGGGCTGCCTCGGGAGGCAGGAGGTTCTACCCTGGAGGTCTTTTCTCCAAGGCTTGGCGACCCCTCGTCGGGTACATCGCAGTAGAAGGTATTTTATTCCAGCAGGAAGTGGCCTGGGTGACCTTTGGCCTCCCGGGCTTGTTAGAATGGGTTTGAAGGAGCGCCCAGGGCTCCAGGAAGGAGCTCCGCCGCGCCGGCAGAGGGCGACCTTTCCCGCAGCCGCGATTCGCGGGCAGGGCCTCCCGGAAAGCGAGACCCCGGACAGTAGCTGGCCGGGCGTTACTGCGCTGTCTTTCCTCTGTCCACCTTCTCCCGGAGGTAACGGGAGAGGCCTGTGGCGCGCGGACTCCCGACATGATGAGCGCGTCAGGCTCGCGCCCGGGACGTCGCTATGCGCGGGTCTCGCGGTGCGTCACCTTCAGCGCGAGCCATCGGCTCCACAGGTGAGGTGGGGGGGAGGTAGATGTGGGGCGGGAAGGGGGCGGGTCCAGGGCTGGGGGAGGCTGCCTGAGGTTCAGGGGAGAGGGGAGGGGCTAGGAAGCTAGTCGTGGGGGGGCGGGGCCACCGGTCTCGCACTTGCCCTCAAGGAACAGGCAATTGGTCGCTCGGCCGAATGGGTGGGCATAGGCAAAATAGGGGCGGGGCCATCGGCCCCACGCCACTAAGAGCGGGGCGTGGGCCGGAGTGACCACCTAGGACTAGGGAGGAATTGAAGGACAGGAACGTCTGCACCGACGATTACAAAGGAAAAAGCCTATTAAATTGAAATAGTTATAAAAATATTTTTAAAAGGTCACCGGCGCCAGGTTAAGAACCCTGTTATTAGTATTATTGTTAATAATACAATAAAACATCTATTAAGTACCTGTTATGTGCCAGGCACTGTGCCAAGTGCTGGGGATACTGAAAAGCAAAAGAAACTTCTTGCCCTGAAGGAGCTTACAATCTAGTTGGGGCGGGGGAGGGGGGGCGACCACCAGCAAACATACACAAAGCAAGCCGTTTACAGGGTAAATAGGAGATAATAGCTGATGCCCTGGGATTTTGAGGGGTTGGGGAAGGCTTCCCATAGAAGGTGAGATTTTTGTTGGCACTTAAAGGAAACCGGGAAGTGAAGCTGAGAAGGGAGAGTGTTTCAGGCTTAGGGGACAGTCAGAGAAAATGCCCTTAGGTGAGAGATGGAGTGTCTAGTTTGTGGAACAGCCAGGAGGGCAGGGTCACTGGCTCAAAAAGTACCTGCTGGGGAGTATGGTGTAAGAAGGCCGGAAAGGTGGGAGGGAGCTAGGTTATGAAGGCTTTAAATGCCAAACGGAGCATTTTGTATTTGCTCCTGAAGGCAATAGAAAGCCACTGGAGTTTATTGAGTAGGGAGGTGACATCATCATCATCATCATCATCATCACCCCTGCAGTAAGGAAGAAGAGGCAAGTCGTTTGTACTTCTTAGCAGGACAGGGCAGGACCTTTGGGGGGGGCCACAGGTGAGGCAGGGGCTAGATTCACCAACAAAAGAAGAAAAGATGGGTATATAAGGTATGGGGTGTAAATGTGTAATATCTAGTACTTGTGAGCTATTAGGTTAAATTGGGGGAGAAATGGGAATAGGAGTAAGAGGTGAAACTAGGGAGAGAAGTGATGCTAATGAACTGGAGACATTTATTGAATACTTTCTGTTTGAGGTAGAAAAGGCATAATAATAAGAAGTTTAGAAATCCAATCAATAAGCAGTCAATAAACATTTATGAAGTGCTTATTATGTACCAGGCACTGTGTTAAGGACTGGGGATACAAAAAGTTCATTGAGTTCAGTGGTCTCATGGGAATGTCATGGCATCTCAGCCTTTTTCTATTTATTTATTCTATCTTTTTTTCCCCAAAAAGCTGGGAGAATTAACTTTTTTCTCATGTAGTTTTCATTTATGATTTCTTGAAATATAGCTCTGAAAAAACAGACTTTGAAAAAGCCCATTGTGATATAAATGGAATTACTTGACTATGTCCTTCAGCCCAAATCACTCCGGCTTTCTCTGATTGGCCATTAATAGGTCTTGTCCCAAGTCTTGCTCATTCATTGTTTGGCTTTTGATGGCTCACAGTGAGTGTAAATAGCAATTGTTTCTTTTCTGACCAGAGGCTTTGGGGTCTTCCCCTCCTGGATTGATCCTTTTTGTGCAGGCAAACTAGGCTATCTTTTGTCTCAATTTTTACCTAGCCTTTAATCACTGAATGGACATTGCCTCAGACAAACTGAGATTGGTAAAGACCTTAGCTTAAAAAGGCCAAGATCTCCTGCTATATCTTGGAGCATCGCCAGTCATCTTGACTTATGTCTTGCCACTGGACTCCAGTGACTCTGGGGGAGAGAGTAAGGCTGATGACTTTGCACAGCTCTGCCTCACTTAAATCCAATTCACTTGCAGTAATGTCATGGGTCCTTCTTTGAGAATGAAGGACGAACAACAACAGTTTGTAACTAACTTGAAAGTCTCTAAATGATTGCCTCCAGAATCAGATATCAAATATAAAATCGACTGTTTGGCTTTTAAAACCCTGCATAACCTGTCACCTTCCTACTTTTCCCAATTTCTTAATCCAGTGATACTGACCTCCTTGCTGTTTCTCACACTAGAAAATCCATATCCAGAGATTGGGTGTTTTCATTGGCTCAAATCCTTCTCTCCCCTGCCCCCCTCCCACATTCCTCTCATCCTTCCTGCCCATTTCCTGGCTTCCCTGGCCTCCTTCAAAGCTGACCTCCTCCAGCTAAAATCCCACTTTGTATAGGAAGTCCTTCCCCAATCCCTCTTAATACTAGTAGTGCCTTCCCTCTGTTGACTATCTTCAGTGTATCCTGTCCACATCTTGTATGTACAGAACTGTTTGCCTGTTGTCTCTCCCATTAGTCTGTGAGCTTCCTTGAGAGCAGGGATTGTTTCACTTTTCTTTGTATCCCCATAGTGGGAAACAAATAGTACAAATACAAATAGCCCCCAAATAGTACATGTTTAATAAATGTTTGTTGACTCTATCTGACTGGTTGAGAGAGGAAATTATTACATTTAGATAGAACTGGGATGTAAGGAAAAGAGAAACTTTGAAGGATACTGTGGCAAGGTTGTGTGATAGTCTCTCAAAGAGAATGCTGGAAGTTCACAGGTTTGGAATGAATCACTGGCCAGTCACTTTTAGGGGCCTATATGACCTTAATGTGGGTGAATTTAAGGACCTGTAAATCACTTGCCTCAATGGTACAGTGTTCTGATCTGGGATGATAGTAAACACTGAAAGTCTTGTAATTAAAAAAAGAAAGAAAGAAATCCAACATTGGGGTATATGAGCAAATACCGACTGATTTTCAAAGGATGTATATTTTTAAAGCATGTAAGGAGTTTGCAGGTATTATTTGTATACTATTGTTTATTCCTTTTTTTCTTTGGCAGCAAATCGCTCAGTGATGAAAAGAATCTGAAGCTCTTTGGGAAATGTAATAATCCCAATGGTCATGGGCATAACTATAAAGGTAAGAAAGGGAGCATAAGAATTTTAGCTCTTTCACAGGGATGAGGGGTAGAGCACATGATCTTTCAGAAAGAACAGTGGTTTGGGAGTCAGGAGATTTGTGTCCTATTCTAGACCCAGCTCTGACAATTACCTTGGGCAAATTACTCTCTCACTTTCTATTTCCATATTTGTAAAATAGATAAGTTGGACTGCATTGATCTTTAAGATCTCTTCCAGGACTAACATTCCTTGAGTCTGAGTGTTAAATGTATGTCTGTCCTTGTGGACTTAATAAGTGAAAAACATTGCAAACTTAAATTCTCATGATTTTAGGCAAAAAGGAGAATTAATTTCAAATGTAAAATCTCTCCCTTAGTTAAATAAATTTTAGTAGTTTTGAAGTATTCATATGAGCAGGAGAAGAAAAATACTCTCAATTATCTGCTCTAATGGAGTGGAGCAATGTTACAGCTAATCCAAAATAATTGGTAGTTTAAAATAATTTTTATTTGGCTTAGGAATTCATAATAAGATATTTTGTGGCAGTATATATCCATTTAACTAGGTCTGGCCAAGGCTAACATTAAAATGAATTTGTATTCCCTTAAGTACATACTCACTGAGAGAAGGAGCATGCTGCCTGGTGGGTATACTTCTGGGTTTAAACCTTGCCTGTGATAATCCATAAAGAGTAATTTATGCCCGGATAATTGAAAGTTGCTTCTTAGAAGAGTCAGCCAGGCATGGTCTGTAGTGGATAAAGTGCAGGCATTAGAGTTAAAAAAAATCCGTTTTCAAACCCCGCCTCTGGAGTATTTATTAGTTTTGTGTCCATGGGCATGTCACTTGATGTCCAAGTTACAGCCAACTTCCTAGGACTTATTTATAAAGTGATTGTCCAGGTGGTTGATGCCTACACTATGGGTGGAGGGGGTTTTCTACTCTGATAGAATCAAATCACAGATTCTTTTGAGTTCTATACTTGAAAGTTTATTCTATTAAGACATAACAGATGCTTCCAAGTGCTGATCTATAAACAATTCGCCTACCTTCAGATAAACATCCATTTGTGAAGCAGTTTTCTCCTAAATTACCCCTTACTTTATAAAAGCACCTGTTTTTCCTCAAATTATTGCTGTCAGCTTATGTGTGTATTCATGTGGATGAGGTAGAGAGATTCATATTCCTCTTTTGTCTCTACTAAGAATTTAAGTCATTGAGTGTGCTTAATTTGCTGTGTGTCCTTACTCAGACAGGTGTTGCTCAGAATTGGACACCAGTTCTGGTAGTTTTCCTGCCAAGCTATAACACACTTTCCCTGGTCTTGGCTTTACTGTCTCAGTTTAGTTGGGATCTGATGATAAAGGAACTGGCTTCAAAATCAGGTAGTTGTTTTGTTTGAAAATATTAAGAAGTTCTCTGTCTACTGCAGCTTATGTTGCCAATCTGTGCTCATATGTCAGCTTGTTGAAAGTCATGTCTGTTTTTGTTATTTTGTTTCCCCCCCCCCAGTTGTGGTGACAGTACATGGAGAGGTATGTGCAGATAATATTTCTTTGTCTCTGTGGTTTGTGGAGCTTGCTTAGGCCTTTTCCAGCTTATGTGGTGGACTCTTGGCATTATGCATCCTATGCTTAAAATGTTTCCTTTGCTATTGTTTACTTGATAGTTTTTTTTGTATCTGGTGAATTGCTGCTTTTCCTAATTTCTCCACTTCCAAAGAACTCTTCTTCAGACTGAGGACTCAAATATTGTGGCACAAGTAGTACTGTGTGAGAGTGAGTCTCAGAGTTAAATGATTATCTTGGACATGAGTCTATGGGGAAGCAGTTGTGGAAATATTTTGGCCTGCTTTCTGTGCCCCATACTGGCTTTCTTTATTTCCTAAGGGTTAATTATAATGAGGTGTCCAAATCTAATTTTAACTTTGTTTATCCCTTAGATTGATCCTGTTACAGGAATGGTTGTGAATCTGACAGACCTAAAAGACTATATGGAGGTAATACTATTACTCAGTACTGTACAGCTCAGTGGTGTACATTTAAAATTCAGGTCCTCAAATACAAATTTTCAAAGGCCTCCTCCTGTAAACTCCTGCCTTTAGAATTATTTTTTGCTGTGGGCCCTGGGGAGCTTACTTTTTACTGATGGCCTCACTGCTGCCTGTTTTATTGCTGCTTGAATGATTCATGGAATGGAAACCAATCAGAAATATTGTATAGTGATCAAGAGAGCTATTTGTGTCTTTTACCTTACTTGAACTACACCTTATTTCTCTGCTTTACCTGTTTAAATCCTTCTCATTCTAAAAGAACCATTTGCGTTCATGAAAGGTCCTATTCTACTCCTGCCCTCATAGATTTTCCCATTCTTTGGGCTCTTTAGTCTAAAATCGCTACCACAAAATTTAGCACTGAATTACCTCATATCTTTCCCTGGGCAGGGACTACTTATACTTTGTATTTTCTTCAATTCCTAGTATGTCACTAAGTATATTAGATGTATCCAATGATTACTTACTCAGTACTTTTTCTGAAACTTAAATTCTAATAGCATCACATTACATTTAATTCTCTGTATGTCACCTTCCCCCCCCCCCCCCATGACATAAACAACAGATACTTATTGAGCACTTTGAAGTGTACATTTGTGCTGTGGGAAATAAGAGAAGTGTATCTAGCCCCTGCCTTCAGACTACTTACTGACCTGGAAAATAAGACTTGTATGTGTAAAAAGCCAAACAATACAAGAGATAGAAATCAGCATGTTAAAGTGTTAATTGAAAGGTAGAACTGCTGCAGATTCATAGAAAGAAGAGATCACTGTGGGGTACAGTAGTTAAGAGAAGGCTTCATGGAGGAGGTGGATATTGTCCTGGCCTGAAAGTCATAGAGTCTCTGAGTTATAGGGACCCTTTGAGACCAGATTTTACTGGAACAAAACCCCCTCTACAACATTCCTGAAAAGTGCTCATCCAGCTTTGCTTAAAGATGCCTAGCTAAGGGAGCTCGGTACCTCTTGAGGTGGCCCATTCAACTTTTGAACAGCTCTCATTGGTACAGAGGGATTTATTTTCCCCTTAAGTCCAAATTTGTCTCTTTTCAGCTTCCTACCATTGCTCCTGCAGAAGTGGTATTATGCCTCTTGCACAAGACAGCCCTGTCTTTTCTTCTCTAGACTTAATATCCGTTGTTCTTTCAGCTCATATGCATATGACCTGATCTTGAGGCCTGCCACCATCTTCTTGGTCTCTTGGGTGCTCTCGAGTGAATCAGTGCACTTTATAAATGTAGCCCTCAGAACTGAACGTGATATTCCACGTGTTGTGTGACTAGGGCAGAATGCGACCCCACTATCATTTGCTTAATTCTATACACTAGAGCTCCATTCATGTAGGCCAAGGGCAGATTGGCCTTCTTGGTTGCCATATCACTCTTTTAACTTGTATTGAACTTTCTGCCCATTAAAACTTTCAAGTTTTTTTTTTAGGTGAACTATTATCTAGCCATGCCTCTTCCATGTTGTACTTATGAAGCTGTTTTTTTTAAATCAAACTGAAAAATTTACATTTATTCTTATTAAGTTTTATCTTATTAGCTGTAACACAGAATTCTGACTTAAGAATTTTCTGGATGCTGACTGTCATCCAGCATGTGTGCTAGCTTTCCTAGCTAAGTGTCCTCTGCAAATTTGATAATCATGTCACTTATGCTTTTATTGAAGTCATTGATAAAAATATGAAATAGCACAGTACCAAGTACTGATCCCTGGATCATATTGACATTGAACCATTAATGATTACCTTTTGTGTCCATTTAGTAAGCTTTGAAATCCACCTAACTGTGCTATTAACTAGCAAACACCCCTCCTTGTCCACAAGAAAAGTGTGAGAGATTTTGTCAAATGCTTTGCTAAAAGCTAGGCACACTGTCTGTGTAGCATTCCCTTGATCTGTCAGTATAGTAACTTTGTTAAAAAAATGAGATGAGGTGAGTTTATTGGGGCCTTTCTTCTTCTTTTTTTTAGATGAATTTTTATTTATCTTTTGTTTTTACATCACCTATATTTCCTATTATGTCTTCCTTGGTGCCACCTAGTCCTTACTATAAAGAGTACAAAAAAAAAAATCCAACCTTAGCTTAGGCAAACTAACCAGCCCACTGAAAAGATCTGGTCTATGCAGTATTTCACCTCCATAATGCCCAACTCTGCAAAAAAATAGGAGATATTCCCTTTCATAGCTCTTCTTTTGTAGCAAGCTTGGTCTTTGTCATTTCACGGCATTGCTTCAGTTGTTTTGTTGTTGTTGTTGTTTCTGTTACACAGTTGTAGTTATTGTGTATATTGCTTTCCTAGTTGTGCTTATTTAACTTTTCACCAGTTTACATAGCCTTCATGTACTTCTTTTTATCCATCATATTCATCGTTTCCTTTAGCATAGTAGTCATCCATTACATTTCTGTGTTATAGCTTGTTTATCCATTCTCCAGCTGATGGGCATCTGCTTTGTTCTATATTCTTCCCTACTATACAAAGTACTGCTGTGTATATGGAGCCTTTTTTTTTTTAATCATTGACCTCCGTGGAGTATATGCCTAACAGTGTGGGACCTCCAGGCCAAAGGTTAGCATAATTTTAATCACTTTCTTTGCTTAATTCCAAATTGTTTTCCAGAAGAGTTGGAGCAGTCCACAGCTGCACCAACAGTATATTAGTTTGCTCTTCTTTTCATAATCTCCCTTCAACATGGTCTATTTCTGTCTTTTGTCATCTTTGCCAGGCTGAGCCTGAGGCAAAACCTGAGTTGATTTGATTTGCATATTTCTTGTTTGTAGTGATTTGGAGCAATTTTTCAGATATTATTAATAGTTCGTAATTCTTTTGGGTACTGTTTGTTCATATCCTTTGACCATTTATTTGGGAATGGCTTTTGGTGGCATATCTTGTTCTTGATGAAGCCATGCTATCTCTTCATGATCACTGATTTATATTCTAAGTGTTTTCATACCATCCTCTTAAATGATGCATTCTTGACTGTTACTAGAAATTAGAAGTCAAGCTCATTATTCCTTTAGTTTGCAGATTCTTTCTTCCATTTTGGGGAAATTGAGACAATATTTGGCCTTCCCCAGTTCTATATCGCCTATTCTGTGCTATGTCATTCTGACAGTGATTCTGCATTCACATCTGTCTTTTCTTTTAGTACTCAGAGATGTAGTTATCAGAATCTGGAGACTTGAACTTACCAGGGATATTGAGGTCTTATTTATAGTATTAGCTCTCTGTTAGCCATTTTCTATGTTTTTTTCCTTCTGTAGTACCCATATCATTCTTCTTGGCAGAGAAAACAGAGGCAAATCTCACATACTTATTTTCCTACTACCCATATAGGACAATCCTTTCAATTTATTGAAACCATAATTCGTATTAATAGTGGCTGACTTCTATATAGTGCTTTAAGGTTTACAAAGTACTTTGCAAACAATGCCTCATTTAACTCCACCACAATGTGGTGAGCTCAGTATGACAGATATTATTATCCCCTTATAGTGGATGAGGAAACAGGCTTAGTGGTGTTAGCAGACTTGCCCATAATCAACCAGCTTGTAAGTTCAGAGGCAGATTGGAATCTTCATCTGCCCCACTCTAAGGCTAATGTTCTTTTTACTGCATATACCATGGTGCCTCTTAAGATTCTAAAAATGATTGCTTCTTTGATACCAAGGCTTTTTAGGGTAGCTGAAAGTGGGTACTAATGTCAGAAAAAAAGGACAATTAACAGCTCTTGATAATGAAAAAGGAAGAAAAATGATATGAATGTGTTTGAATACTTGAAAATAATCTACTTGCATTTATAAAATATTTTTCCTTCTAGGAGCTCAAGATAATTAAATTGATTCTTAACAGATTTTGAACTAACTTTGTAATTAAGCAGCTCTTAAAAAAATAACTCTTAAAAAACCTTAGTACTCGCTTACATGTCCTTTTGCTAGCCTCAGATGCCTTGTTGTGGCACTAACAGATGACAGTTATGACGAGGTGTTGTTTGAAATATAAAATCTCTTGGAGATCATGCAAGAATTGTTATCTGAGGTTCTCAATTGCCTTGGGTCACGTTACAGGAAAGTTCTAATATATGTATTTCCACTCTGATATGAAAACTGGTATATGTTCATTATTGGACAGTAATTGTGGGTTTTTCATTGTGGTTTTTCCATCTGGTCTTTACACATGAAGGACAACTCATCAGTTTGGAGAAGGAGATCCTATTTTCCACTAATAGCATTAAGCTACCTGGAGTTTTGGTTGGATAGAGTCATAGCACACAGGAGCCCAAGCTCCAAGTAACAGGGCCAAGGTCTAAGAATCACAAGCAGTTGCCCATACAAATCTGAATCACAAATACAGCCAATCTTTTTTTTTTCTATTCTATTTTGGCTCCAGGAGGCAATTATGAAACCCCTTGATCATAAGAACCTGGACCAGGATGTACCTTACTTTGCAGATGTCGTGAGGTAGGTGCTGGCTCCCACTTTTGTCTCATAACAGATAATAAAATGAGAATGAATTTTCGTATTTGTTCAAATAGACTGCAGTCTTCCTCCCACTCCTACCCCTCCTAATGTGGCATGTATAAGACCTGAGTGTAACTTATAATAGTAGTGTTAGCATCATAGTTATAGCCTAAAATTTGTTTCTCTGGCACTAGAGGCAGAAACAGTAGCCATGGCTTTCTCTGGGGCCCTACTCACTCAAGTGGGAAGAGATTGGGTTGGTGGTTGGCTCTGCTGCTGTTGTTGCTATAAGAGAAAACTCAGAAAGATCTTTAGAAAAGTATTTAACATCCAAGCATCCATTTAATGACCTACCTTGTATCTTTCATTCTAGAAAAAAACATTAGGGGTGAGTAGTAAGAAGGGATTTTTGGCTATAGTCTCCCTCTTCCCAGAGCTTATGCTTTGGTTTCTATGTTCAGATAAATGAACACTACTGCTCATGGCTTTATAGATGGTAAAAAGTCTCTCCAAGTTATGGAGTCTGGTCTTCTCCAGCTCTAAAATGGCCGGTTGCTGGGGTGCTATTAATTGGTCCATGTATGGTAGAAAAGTACCCTTAGCCGAGAGTCCCCGGAGAGGCTAGATCTGAGCTGAAGCTGAGGGCAAGAGAGGGAAGATGAAAGGAAAGAAATGCATGTGTTCAAAGTGCTGAAACTTCTTGTCAAAGCTCTGTTGGAGGTGTTAAATGTAGGTGGTAAAGAAGGGTGGGAGGGTGCTGGGAGATTGGGGAAGGGAAGGGAGGAGAAGTTACATTTGTCTCAATGTTGCCATGTTCAGATACCATCAGTGGCAGATGAGACCTCTAATGGAATTTATTTCCCAAGGCATATTTCCTTGATTCTGTGTCCCCATCACTTGATGTGGCAACATTACATCCAAAAAATATGACCTTCAGAAAAGTGGCTAATAAGGGTCTCTATAAAAATGGCATTGGACCAAACTTAGTTCTCCAAAGTTTCTGGGTTTGTTAAGAGTTGACTTAATTTCATGGATTATATTTTATTTGTCTTTCTCAGTTTTTCTTTTACTGTTGCTTGAATGCCACACCAACATATATACAAATGTACATACTACTGTGCAAAATACATTAAAAGGATTTTGAGAAACTAAAAACTTTGCCATTTGTTTGCTAGTATAGGCCAAGGCTCCAGTCTATGGTACAGAGGCTGGCAGCTGTTGCACAGTCCATGAATCTGTGTCAGATATGTTTGTGGAATTTTAAAATTCTTTACTTTAAAATAGTATGCTATTTTTGATATGATAGTATGATTTGATATGATAGATATAATAGTGTGATACATGATAGTAATCATCTTAATACATGTCTGAATATTTTGAATTAAAAAATATCTTTTGGTATTTTTAAGCTTAATGTTTGATATTCTAAGGGTTCTCTTTTGCCTTGTCCCAAAAGCCTTAATTAAAAGCTTTTAAACTTAAAGCTTAACTAAGACTTTTGGGACAACATATACATACATACATACATATATATATATATATATATATATATATATATACATACATATATATATATATATATACACACACACACACACACACATATATATAGTATATATATATATTATATATATGTAATATTTAGTGAGGAAGAAGCTTGGTTTATTTACTTTGAAAAACAATTTCTCCTAAATAGGTCATTTTTGTAGGATAATTTCACATAATTAAATATACATACACATATATTTCCTTTCTAAAAGATTTTATTTTAGAGAGGCGTCCTCTGTTTGGGATAGCCTGCTCAGTAAATAATTTACTCTGATTGTTAGTGTAAATGCTAAAGTTTGCCTGAGAATGTGACATTTAAACAATAAGAAGGTTTATTTCTGAGAATGATGGGTATGAGACTTTGCTAATCATTTTCATAGTGAACTTGTAAAATCTTTATCTCTATCCACAGCACAACAGAAAATGTAGCTGTATATATCTGGGAAAATCTTCAGAAAGTTCTTCCTGTGGGAGTCCTTTATAAAGTCAAAGTGCACGAAACTGACAAAAACATCGTTGTCTACAAGGGAGAGTTATCAGCCCTTGGGGATTAGTATTACTATCTTAACGTTAAATTCATGGCTAATCTTTTTGAAAAGGAACTTTGTCTATTGAAGTGTTAATAAGTTGCCACATAAATGTTACAGTTGTTGTATCTTAGAATCTCTGAGTATAAAAACATTTGAAATGAGAAGAATTTTTTATTTAAATCTAGAGAGTTGTATTTTACAAATAAAAAAAAATGTTGCCAAAGTGCTTGGTATATCATTTTGAAAAAATCTTAATATTATTTTGTCATGGTCATCTAGTTTTCCTAACTGGGATGGTCTCTAGGCATGAATAATAAATGAATGAATTAAAAAGCATCCCATAAGTGCCTACTATGTGCCAATCACTATGCTAAGCATTGAGGATACAATAAAAAGTAAAGATAGGCCCTCCTCTCAGTGTGCTTACATTCTATTTGTGGAATACAGTACACAAATCAGAGTGGTGGCCTGTGAAGACTGTTTGGTTTAGAAAGTTACAGTATGCTAAATGTAGTCATAGGAGGATGTAGATTGACACACTCTTTCCAGGAACAATGGCAGAATTGATTTCACTACGGTTCCAGGACTAGAAAGGGAAAAGAGGGATTGGGGGGTTGGTGTGGAGAACTCCCGGGTGTAAAGTGAAGCATAGCTAGAGACAGAGCCTAGATTTAGTGGGCCATTGAGGCAGCCAGAATCAGCCCCTTAAGGTCCAAGGGTAGGAGTTCTGGGCATGAACATGTTAAGTCCTCCAGGGCATAACTCTGGAGGTAAAGAGTGTTTTTGTAGGGTATTTGAAATATTAAAATGTGTGTAGAACTTTATAGTAAGTCAAGCTTGGGTGACAATATAGCTGATTTTGAAGACCATGAATAATTATTACGCGTTATATACCCTGTTAAAATAATACAACAGAAAAAGGAGTCTCTGCTCTGCTGTGACCACCTTCCCATTGGAATCACTTTCTCATTGGTCCCAACCATTTTCCCGCTATGTTAATTTGTATTAAATTAGACATATGTAAATCAACAGGACTATATTGTGTACACAGAGCTATTTCTTTCTTGGCTTCTCATTTGCATTGCTGGGGGTGGGGTGGGGGAGGAGCTTCTCCTTTTTCCCATAGCACCCCATACAAAACTATCCAGTGGAGAGTCAAACGGTCCCACAGATGAAAGGCCAAAATGTGTCTTAAAATTACGTTAAATTTAATGCAGTTTCATGTGCAATCATCTTTTTTTATTGCACTGTGTTATGGAAATGCTTGTTTTGTTCTGTGAATTGAAAATAAAATAAATTAAAAAAAATTGAAGACTGACTTGGGGTCAGAAAATCTAGATAGGCCTGTTGCTTTATTAGCCATGGTACCACAGGCAAATTACTAGCCTTTTTCCATGTCTATTTTCTGTCTTTAAAAGATAAGCAATGATTCTTTCTTGATTCATCCCATGGGGATGTTGTGAAAATCAAATAGATTCTGTAAATCATGTAGAGTGGCAGTGTGGTATAGAGGAGAATGAGCTGGCATTGGAGCCAGGAAGACCTGAGTCCAAATCCTACTTCAGACACATATGACTGTGACCTTGGGTAAGTTACAAACGCTCTGTGTTGTAGGCAACTCTTAAGTTGTAGCTGACATTTCCTTATACCAATGAAAGCATCGGTCTGTGTTTATACAGTGTTTGGAAAATGGAAAAACTGTTGTAAATATCAGTTATTCTTTAAATTTTGAAATTTGTAATGGTGAATTAGATATTTTAAATTTGAAGATGAATCTTTATGTATCACATACAGTTTTTGGCTGAGTCATTTATTTGATAAATGATGCCATAACCAATGGTGGCTGAAAAGAGCTGTGTGCTAGCTTCTGATAGAAGACTAATGCATAGATTACAAATCATTACTTTTAGAAAGAATTAGCATTAGTAAAACTCTAGTTGCTTTGAGTTGCTTCAAGAGAACAACATCTCTTATTTTTGTTTTTGGTGTTCTTAAGTGAAATGTGTGTGTGTGTGTGAGAGAGAGAGAGAGAGAGAGACAGACAGACAGACAGACAGACAGACAGACAGACAGAGAAACAGAGACAGAGAGAGGGAGGAAGACAGACACAGAGACAGGTGGGGGAGGGAGCCAGACAGAGAGTGAGACAGAGATGGAGGGAGACAGACACAGACAAAGAGAGAGAGAGAAATCAAGATATATAGAGAAGGGACAGAGAAAGAGAAAGGATAGAAGGACTTAGTGGAAAGGTTATAACTTTCACATCTCATAGAATTGAGAAATTTTAGGAATTCTGATGTGCGGTGGAGCTGTTAAGAGGCTTTGAGGCTGTTACAAGTGGCTGCGACATTTCTTCAGTTTAAGAGTTTCTCCCCATCTTGTTTGATTTCTCCTTAAAACCAAACCAAACTAATGTTTTGCTAGGGATAAGAAAGATCTTTCCATCCCATACTAATTTTATCTGACCTGTGGGATTGGGGTAGGAGAAAGAGGTGGTATGGTCTAGTTGATAGTACTGGCCAAGGAGTCAGAAGAACTGGGTTTTAGTTTGAGCCTCGTCACTTACTAGTTATGCAACCTTGCCCAAATAATTTAATATTTCTGGACTTCAGTTACCTTATCTATATAATATCAGGAGGTTAGACTACATCTCAGGTCATTTTTGGCTTTAAAATGATGTAATTTCATGATTTTGCATCTGTAAGTCTATCATAGAAAGACTAGGTTTTTTGTTTTTGTTTTTTTGAGGGAGAGATTGCTTAAGTCTAAAGAGAATACACGGAAACAGCAGCTTTGGAGGTAGATTAAAGAGCAATTTAATTCAGCTTGAATAAATATGGAAGGACTTGATTATTTGTGTGGGTTGGAGTTGGCAGTTTTGAATCAAATCTCATGGAAAAAAGTTACTTTTGTGAATATTAAATCAATTTGATTTGATTAGTGAACTTTGTGTAGTGTTAACATGAGGCAGTATGGCATAGTGTGAAGAGCACTGTCTTTGGTACTCTAAGTCTTGAGTTATATCTCTTCTTTGCTACTTATTATCTGATGTGTGCCCTTGGATAAGTTATGTACTTATTCTGAAACTGAATTTCCTCATCTGTAAAAAAAAAGATTATTGGATTAGATGATTTCTAAGGTCCCTTCCAGCACTAAATCCCATAATTTTATGTAAGGATCATTTTAGAGACTACCAGGTATAAGCATATTAGAAATACTGGATTTTACTATATCAAATGGGCTATAACGTGGCAAAGAGAACAGAGTGCCGGGCTTGGAGTTCAAGACCCGAGTTCAAATTAGGAGTCAAACACTTACTAGCTGTGTGACCCTGCACAAGTCACTTACCCCTGTTTTCCTCAGTTTCCTTACCTGTAAAGTGAGCTGGAGAAGGAAATGGTAAACCACTCCAGTATCTTTGCTAAGAAAACCCCAAATGGGGTCACAATGAGTTGTACACAACTGAAATGACTCAACACAACAAAAATGGAAATGATAGATTAACCTATGAGAATGGATGAACTAGAAAGTGAGCTTTTATCTTGGAAGAAGTTGAGAGAATCAAAGCTTTGGTCGTCATTGTCACCAGTCAATGAAGAAAGCCTGAAAAGGTGAATTTATTTTTACTCTTTTTCAAGTGACTAGAAAACCTCTGTGTTTTCTTTAAATGGCTGAAAACAGAATAAAAATCTTATGTTGGGAGTTTGTAGACTGGTAGCATGGCAGCTTTGCATACATTTGCAAATTTTATGCTACTTTTGGTCCCAATAGGACCCAACCACATCTAATTGTACTGGGGGATAAAAATATCAGAGTAGTAATGACTATGGCTAGCTCCTATGAAAATATATGCAAATCATTAAATCCCAATTTTAATAATTAAAGCCTCACTCTTAGGTAATGAGGGGAGAAGGTGACTATAACCATATCTTTATAACTCATACACCTTAGGGGTACAGCATAGTTCATTAGTTCATTTGTTCATTTTGGTTCTTATTGACTTTTCAATGTAGATCACCATATGCCATCTAGAAAGATGGCTGAAGTAACCTGCTCATATTCCCCAGTGTCATGAGCATTTCAATAATTTTAAAGGTGGGATAGAGACAAGTTGTTCATCTCTTTCCTGTGCTGTCTAGAATATTTCTGTCCTCCTTTGCATGTAGTAAAGTCGTTAGTTTCACATAATTTAATTTTATAGAAAGATCTTGTTGCAAAGCACTTTTGGAAGATATCCCAGATAAACACTATTAAAGTCTCTATGGAGATGCTGAGAGATCAGATGCCATCACAGGTAGATATGAAAGGAGTGTACTTTTCCAGGGAAGGTTAACCTTTGGAAAGTATTGGAGAACTGGATGGGATGATCTGAAGGTTTGCAGTTTCTTATTGGAGAGATAAACTCTATGAAAAGAACAGAGACACCACCTTCCCTTGTTCTGCCTCCAGTTTGACCACTGGCAAAAGTAGTGGAACACTTGACCCTCCTAAATACTATGTCTAAGTAGCCAGAGGTGAGCTTAGATCTTGTTTGCAAAATTTAGAGGCTGCCAAATATGTGATGTGGCCGAAGCCCAGATAGATTAGACCTATTCTTAATCTAGGGTAGCTAGGTGCACAGTGGATAGAATGTCAGGCCTGAACTCAGGATGACTCATCTTCCTCAGTTCAAATCTAGCCTCAGATACTTACCAGCTATGTGACTTCAGGCAAGTCACTTAAACCTGTTTGCCTCAATTTCCTTATCTGTAAAATGAGCCGGAAAAGGAAATGGCAAACCACTCCAGTATCTTTGCCAAGAAAACCCAAAATGGGGTCATGAAGAGCTAGACATGACTGAAAATGACTGAAAAGGAATAACAAATTTTCGATCTATCAGCCTAGTAACCACATCAAAGAAGAAAATGAAGTTAATCTGGCATGACTTTTTAGGGAATCCCTTCTGGTTCCTAGTGATCACCACTTTCTTTTCTAAAGTTCTTGTAAACTATTCACTTAATAATGCATTTGAAGAATCAAGTACATCCACTTCTTTTGAGAACTGAGGCAACATTTTACTCATCTCTAGACCTTTTTTCCACAGAGATCACCAGCAGTAAGCAGCAGTCACGCATTTACAAAATGATCAACATATATTTTTTCATTAGAATCTTATACAGCCCTGTGAGGCATACATTATAAATATTATTATGCTCATTTCTTGGTGGTTATAGCTCTCTTTAGGAATGCTGAGGATCAGCACCTTTACAGAGTCCTGAAGCTGCCTTTCTTCTAGCCTGTCCTTGGTTCCTGAGGAAGGTGCTGCTATTACCCTGTTCTCTTCTGGAGACAATGTAACTAACATTGATGGGAAGTCTAAATCTTTAGGTCTTTCAAAATTCACAAGGTTACCCTCTACTCAGGGTGGTGGGAGACACAGACTCTCCCCTCGTATCTCTCCCTCTCCCCCATATCCTTCCCTTTCTGGGGTTTGGTCAGAACTGCTTTACTACTGTTGTGGTCTGCTACTTGAATACTGGATTTAAGAGGGCTTACTGGGGTAGCTAGGTGGTAGATAGACTGCTGGCCCTGGAGTTAGGAGGACCTGAGTTCAAATCCTTCAGATACCTGCTAGCTGTATGGCCCTGGGCAAATCATTTAACCTTGTTTGCTTCCAAAAAAAATGGCTTACTGTTTAAGCCTCTCAGGGCACAAAGCTTGATTCTTATCTACCAAACACAAGATAGTTTCTATTTAGGCTCATCTGATTTCATTCAATCTGTACCTAGTTTATACTTTTGACTGATTGATTCAGTAGAGGTATCTAGCAGTTGTTCACACCTAAGTTGTACCTTTGATGATTACATAACTCAAATAAGACATGTTCTCACTTGATAAAGGTATGTAGAGCATCTTGTTAGTGACATTAATTGGGGATGAGAAAACTTCTCTTACCAATGCAAATACCTTCTCTGCAATTTATTGTCTTAAATAATTGGCTAGAGCATTGAGTGGTTAATTGAATTGCCCAGAGTCACATACATAGCCAGTATGT